GGGCCTGAGTGTCTAGGAGAAGCTTTGTTGTTCTTACTATGGGCTGACCATAAATACTATGCTCCCATTCTCTAGGCGTCCTTTTTGGTTGGTTTGGTTTGGAACATAGAGGGCCCCGGTTTACCTGCTGGTTCAATCATCTACCACCATCTATTTTCCAAAAAGGACACCTACACTTGTGACATTGCGCCTGGACCTTTTGCCGCAAAACCCCCGGCTTCGGCGCCGGTCTTCAACCCACTCCTCCGTTTTTTTGGTTTTCCCGGAAGTTCTTGCAACAACAGCTATTTCCTGGGATTCAAACCACCATTCAAACAATGGGGGCTCTGATAACCACCATTGTTTGCTTAAGGATTGTCATCCAAATTGGGTCAGCCTTGCTTTTAATGGGGGTTGAATCAGTGACGGGTGCAGGCTGGTCAGATGGACACCGCGCAAATGTTTGGCTGCCCCAGTGAATCCTACCTGGTTGCCTGCACGCGTGGTTGTTGCGATCAAATTTAGACATGCCGCCTCACATCATTGCCCAATAAGCCGTTTAAGGGAATCAGCCATCGATTTTCTTCCGAGTTTCGGAAGCTGGGGGGCGGCAATGAAAGGACACGCCAGCTCCAGGAAGTTCAAAAGGGAAGTTCAAGCCCAACTGCTTTTGGCAGGTATTTTAACCGTTTATTTCCGGTGGCTAGAGCTGTTGTTTGTTTGTTTGTTTGTTTGTTTGTTTGTTTGTTTGTTTGTTTGTTTGTTTGTTTGTTTGTTTGTTTGTTTGTTTGTTTGTTTGTTTGTTTGGTTGATTTGTTGTTTGAATGTTCGTTTGTTTTCATTGATTGATTGATTGATTGATTGATTGATTGATTGATTGATTGATTGATTGATTCATTGATTCATTGATTCATTGATTCATTGATTCATTGATTCATTGATTGATTCATTCATTCATTCATTCATTCATTCATTCATTCATTCATTCATTCATTCATTCATTCATTCATTCATTCATTCATTCATTGATTCATTCATTCATTCATTCATTCATTCATTCATTCATTCATTCATTCATTGATTGATTGATTGATTGATTGATTGACTGGTTGGTTGGTTGGTTGGTTGGCTGGTTGGTTGGTTTCATTTGTTGTTTTTCTCAGGCCCCACCAATCTCTCTCGCGAGGCGGCGTGTACCGGACTCTCGAGAAGCTGCAGCTGGAGTCTGTGGGCACCTTGCGGGCTGGGAAGCTGGTCCGCGTCGAGGCGGGAGTCGAGGCTTCCAGGCGGCGGGGGCCAAATCGCCTGGCGACTTGACCCCAAGAAACCCCAAAGTTGCCCCAGAAGTTGAGGTTTTCCAGTTGACCCCAAAGAAACCCCAAAGAAACCCCAAGAAAGCTCAAAGTTGCCCCAAAAGTTGAGGTTTTCCAGACGAGGCCATCGAGCTTTGGCTCCTCCTCCTCCTCAGCCAGAGGTAAGTTTGGTAAACCCCATGGGGCCTCAAAGGGACTGGGCACTAGGTCCAAGCTTCGACCTCGGAAGCCCAATGCCTGGAGCTGAAGGAATTGTTTCGACGAAAGGTTGTCAGAACCCGTTCGAACCCTAAGGTCTAAGACAGTTCAATTGAACCTCTCCTGGGCTTTGGCGCTTTTTTTTCTTGGTGGGTCAAGATGAAAAAGAACCTATCCACCCCCACCCCCCACCCCCTGTTTTTTTGACAGCACCAAGGGGATTTTGGTTGTGGTGTACCAACGCAGGCCTGTTGAATCGCGGGTGCCTTGGTTCCCCCCCGCCCCGTTCGGACCTTGGAAGGCGATTCGCCCCAACGAGTCGAGTCTGCGGGTTCAGCTGCGGGTGGAGAGCGGCACACTGGCGCCCCGGTGATTGCGGCGGTGTCTGGGGTCAAAACGATTTTTCGATTGGTAGCTTCCCCATTCTTTCCAGGGATCCTTCTTTCCAGAAAACCACCAAAAACCTTGGGGAAACAGCTGGTTATTGGAAATAATGATGGTTGAAAGGAATGGGGAATCAACCCCCAGAATTTTAGGTTTTCAGGGTAGACAATGGGGCGTGTCAAAACAGGGGGCCCCCCATTTTGAGGTGGGTTCCTTTTTGTTTTCCTTTCAAACAATCCCAAACCGAAACAAGGGCACCCTCATGTGTGTCAAGGTGTTGGAGTCTGTGGGCAGCAAGTTGGTCCTTCATGCTTTGTGCGCAAAGTTCAATGGCCTCAGTGGCTCAGTGAATAGGACAACTCTGGAGTTGTCGTGACAGAACTATGTTCAGCAGGTAACAACTTGACATGCCACTAGCTTGTGATACAACTTAGCTTGAAACGTCACTAGCTTGTGAGTGGCAACGTTAGTGTGGATTGGGTGGCGATGTCGTACGGACTGGTGGTCACCGTTGGAGCTTGAGGCTGCACTCTGAATGAGGAGTGCCGTGCTTAAAGCAGTACCTTTGGCTCAAATCCAAGACATTGGTACCGTCTTTTCATATGCGACACGGAAGTCCCACGTTAGTTCTGCTGGTGCTGAGTGCAGTATGTGCCAGATGTGTGGCTGGTCCATCTTGTGAATCGGAAATCCCTTCGAGCATCAGCGAGAGCGATGCTGTCACTGTTGCAGGCGGAGAGGAGGAACTTTTGCACTTTGGAATGCTCCAAGTTAGTGCTGGCCTTGTTCCAAGAGAATCCAGTCTTGAAACGGAAGTGAGGAGTGCCAAAGATACCAAAGAGATGGTGGGCGTCCACGAGTCAGTATTTCAGCGTCTGGGCAGCTTGGGGTTCCCATTTGCCACTTCTATGTTGCTACCACATGCGTTGTCCTGGTTGGTTGCCTATGCCATCATGCGACGAACAGAACACAGCCAGGAGTCAGAGGTCCCAAATGAAGAGAAGCAAGACTCAGAGCACAAGGGCTTCGCATACATTTGTGCCAGAGTTGGACCCATGTGGATGATTCACATGCTCGGAGTCTTCTCGTTTAGTGTCGCAGCTCCAAGCATTCAGTACATGTACTTGAACTACTTTGCACGACAGCAAGCGCATTCGGCGATTGACTGTTCTGTGCAAATGGCAGAAGCAGCATGTTCACAGTCTGTCATGAAGGCATTGAACCTTGCAGTCATGCGGGGTTTTGCCCTGCCAGTTGTTCAATTTCTTGTGGGGCCAGCCTTGGGAGCATTCAGCGATTCGTTCGGGCGAAAGCCTGCAGTGTTGGTGATTCGCAGCTGCTTGTTCATCCATTGTGCAGGCACAGCTGCTGTTGCTTGGATTCCTGGCTGCTCCATTTGGGTTGACTACGGTCTCAGCTTCTTCTCCATGATCCCTTGGGTCTCAGTGCCTTGTGCCTGGTATATTGACCGACTGGATCATAAACCAAGCATTATATACGCCGTCGGCTTGGTGGAGGGGTCAATGATCATTTGTGCCACGCTGGGCACGGTTTTGGGCAGCTTCTTGAGTTTGAAAATGGCCATCCTGGTGGAGTTTCTGGGACGCGGAGTACTCGCGATGTTGATTGCGATCTTCCTCCTGCCGGAATCTCTGCCGGAAGAGAAGCGCGTGCCCTTCTCGTGGTCCTCTTTGATTCCGACGGCATCTTTGCAGCTGCTGCTTCAGAGTCCTGTGGTGACGAAGCTGACTGCGATCAGTGTCATCAATACATTCCATTGGGCAGGCTACTTCACACTCCTGGCAAGATTTCTCCAAAGCCATATGGCATGGACACGGCAGCAGACCTACACTGCCGAAGTCGTGCAACAAATCTCCTCCGTCTTTTGGCTCTTTGTAGGTGTGAAAGTCCTGTTGCGCTCCTTTGGTGAAGCAGGCTTGATGGCTGTGAGCACAACAGCTGCAGTACTGTCCAACGTCCTACAAATGCTTTCAAGCAAGCATTGGCAAATCTATGCCAACAGCATGGTGTTGTCAGGTCCTGCCATCATGGGAACAGCCGTGGCTAGCGGGATGGTCGGCAAGGCTGCTTCACCATCTCAGCAGGGCATGCTACAATCAGCACTGGGACTGGTGACTGACATGGCAGCCGCTTTGGGACCTGTAGCTTTCGCCACCATCTACGAGGGCCTTGACCCAGCCGCGCCCGGAGCAGCCCCGTGGAAGATGTATTTCTACATTGCCTATGGTGCACTCTTCGCGTTGCCGAGTCTACTTCTCACATTCTCACTCAGCAAACATGCTGAATCCGAAAAGATCTGAGATGCACGCAAAAGTCAGGTCACGACGGGCTGATGCTCCAGCCAATTGAATCAGACTTTACTAGAAATGCAGCTCATGTCTTGACTTGTGTGGTTTCTCGGGTTAGTTGGGTTTATCCTCCCATCCACATGCCATGTTAATTGAAGGGAGGGCAACCTCCCGTGACTTAGGACCAGACGGGTAGAAGCAGTTGCACCAAACCTCAGGACTCAACTTCAGGGAATCATAGGGGCCCGGCCCTGAGAAGGTAAAACCGGGAAGCGAGCTGCACTTCCAGCATTTCTCTTTTCTGTGGTTTCAAAGGGAAACCAACAGGAAAATCACAATTTTCAGGGTGTCCCCCCAAAAAAGGACATCCTTCTAGCATGACCAAGAACCCAAGATCGGGGTTGTTTCTCAAGAAGCAAAGAACGGGGGATGGACATCGACCTTTACCCGGCGAATACCGGTTTCCAACAGAAGCCTTTTTTTTCCTTGAGCCTCGGGGCGCTTGAAATCCTGCGAGTTCGACACCGCAGAACTGCTGGTAGACACCCCATGGAAAGCCAACAGAGAACCTTGGAGCCTTTACACACCTCCCCGCGGTTTGTCTTTTTTTGAACAGAAACTGTGGTCCCGGGGAATTTCTTGAACAGAAACTGCCTGGACCTCACGTTTTGGTGTTTTTCCTGCCTATGCAGTTGGCAAGGCTCCAGTCGGGGTCCATGGGAGAGACCTCCCCAACTTTGCATGGGATCGATGACTGGCTATGTTCTGAGAAAGGCCTGAATAGAATGCTAGGACCAACACAGAATATCACACCAAAGGCGAACAGTTGTCTGCTTTGTTTTTCCAGTTCACACGCAACAGGCACAAACCTTGAGAAACCTTCCGAACCAGGGAAGAGCACCTTTGGAAACAACCTTTGGAGCATAATATATATATATATATTTATACATTCCGTAGAACCCTTTTTGGTAACAGAAACCTACCAATTTGCGGGGGTGCCCCTGTTTGAGCATATCATTGGTGGATTGAAGCATTCCAGACACCCAGTAAATGGCCATTCCATTTTCAACTTTTGTTTGGGGGATTGCCTTTCAAATCAACTACCCAAGAAAGCGTGCCCTTTCTTCTCCACGGACGTCCACTTCGGTCTGTGTTCCTTTTCTTTCTTTCTTTTTTTTTGGTTTGGGGGGGGGGTAGATTTAGGTCAGGTCCCCTTCCATTTTGTTGGCGGGCACCCTCCACACTCCTCCTCCAGCACCTCCCACCTGTTCGTGACCTCCACATCGAGGCCGGGCGCTCGGGTTGGGTGAGCCTCAGCTCGCAGAGCGGCGCCTTGGACCTGCGGAACCACCTGGAGTTCCAGCGCGGACCTCGGCAACGACCTCTTCGGCCCTGGCCCGTTGTTTCGAGCGCGGGCGTCGGTGTTTGATGCGTTTGCCACCGTGCCCCCAGGATCGTGCCAACTTGTACCGGTTCTTTTTTGGGGAGGAAATCCCCTACTAAAATAGACGACAGAAACAAGGGTACCCTTATTCTAGCCTCTCTACTGGAGGACCTAGTCTGGCTCTTTGGAGTGACACCAGAAGGAAAAAACGAAGCCATGTTGGGCATCGCGTAAAGAACGACACACCCACATGAGGGAATCCGCCTGAAAGATGTATGGTTGTTGTTGGCTTACCGATTGAATCAAAGCCAAAAAGGCTGTTTCCTTCTTTCTCTAGATTTTAATGGGAAACCCAAAGGAACACCAACAACTGGGGCGCACAGAAATGTATGACACATGTATAACATACATATATATATAGGTAATTACCCAACATGCATACGCATACGCACGTATTTACATAGTGATATTCGTTCATGTGTGAATCATGTACGTACATGTTTACATCTACATGCAACACGGGCTTGGATTCCCGAGGCAGGTGGCTCAGCACTCCCTGCAGCTGGCGGAGCCTCCGCCAGGGCACGAGGCGCTGGCTTTGGGCACCCTTCCCTGCTCGGCGTCGATCTGACTCAACTGATATGGCTGTACATCATCTACTTATTGATACCCCAGGATTCAGCCCCCATAAAAAGAAAGGTTGACCTTTGGATGACAAACCTTAGGTCAACAATGGTGGCTATATGAGCCCCCATTGCTTCACTGGTGGCTTGAATCCCAGGGGTTCCATTCCGAAATGAGATGGAACTGAAAGTTCGGGCTGTTTTTTCCAGGGCTCCTTATATAATTTGTGCATTCCTATTTTCGTCCAAATGGAAGTTTTGGGTGGGCTTTTGGAAATTCCGTCTTTTGGAGATTCCTTTTTGATGGTGTCTACGATACATGTTTAACAGACTCAGAAACAGCAGTTTTCTGCGTTCCCCGGATGGGTGCCCAGGTGTGATGGGCTCATTTGTCCCGAGCCATCTCTCTCTACTTCCCGGAGTTCATTTCCGGAATACTGCTGGACAGATGATTGTTTAATGGGAAGGTGTGCAATCCATTTGCTCTCCGGATGAAATAGCTCGAAGAGATGTTCCCATTGGTCTGATGGTAGTCAATGACCTACAGCAATTGGAAGTTTCCTTTGATCAAACACTGGCAAGTATTGGCTACTTCGCACCCAAAGGGCTTTCAACTGAACAGCAAAAGCATCAGATTGGGCTTGCCTTCCAAAACTGGCGGGATATAAGCTGCTACCTCGACAGATCCAGGAGCTGAGCTGGGCACCGCCAAGAAGTCGCCTCTCTTGTTAGCTCACCCTGACCATTTTGAGTCGGGAACCCTCCAAAGAGAAATGAATTTTCATCGTGCCACTGCACTGGGGGAGTTTCAAACACCGACCAAGGTGCGATGGATATGTGTGTGTGACTCGTTTTCACGCACTCTGGAGTAGTTTGTGGTTTCACTGGTTTCAGGGGGTCAGCTTTCCGTTGGATCTCTCGGTGTGACGGTGTGCCATGTGTTTGTTTTTGTTTTTTTGTGCGGTGAGCTGTTCTTTGAGTTCAACCAGATAGCGATAGCACCTTCCAAGGGTGCCACATAGCTGAATGGATTCCCAGCTGGCCATTTTGGAGCATGCTCTTGGAATGGAAGGTCCTGGCATGATTGCTGTATCGAAAGTCTCTCAGTTCAGCCACAATCAAAACCCGGGTAGGTGAAGGTTAGTAAGGGGCAGTCCCAGCCGGAAATAGTTGCGGCCGGCTTTCTAATTCTTTACATGGTCGGTTCACCATTTTTGTACCAGGTGTTGATTGTGACTCAGTTGTCCAAATGTGAGCCTGTAGCCTGTTGCCCTTCTTGTTCCTTCAGTCACAGACCTAAAAGTTGAGGCTTGCATTGTCAGGTTGGCAGGTGAGGTCAACTTTGGTCCCTCAAAATGATCCTGTTCAGGGTTTTTCGGTTTTCGCGGGGTTGTCCTTAACCCTTTTGGACAAACCCACGTTCAGTTTGGTCCAAACGCCTAGGCGGCCAATCCTTCCCATTCAGAAAGCTGTCGGTTTTGTTGGTAGGGTAGACCTGTAACTAGAATATGAACTTCGGATTAGTCAAGCCCTGGTGGCATTTGATTGGGGTATCCCCTTCTCACGGGGAATCCGGATCACCTTTCTGAGCCGTACGCACCCATGGGTCTTTTGAACACCCCGTAAAGCCCCGGAGCCGTTTCCAATTGGAACTCTTGCGGCCGGATTGGATCGGCTTCCTTCCCATGTTGCCTCAAGAAATTCAAAGTCCACGAATCGTTTCGTGGATGATTGCGAAATACTAACAGGCACACGGCGCGGCTGGCCTGGGATGCAACCAGGTTCCAAGTAGCATTGTTTTTGGGCATAACATGGACCAGAAGTATCTCCTTACCAAGCCTGCCTCTAAACTTGTGAAGCGCTTCTTTTGAGAACCAAGCCGTGTTTTTTTGTTGCCATTTTTTTTCTGGGCCATTTTCACCGGGGATCCTCCGGGATCCGGCTGGACGGCGGCAAAAATCTCGATCCCCGGCTGAAAAAAATCGCCCCCGCAGGCCTTCACCGCGCGCATCGCCCGGGATCCGAACGACGCCAAGGGCCTCGGCCTGCAGCTGGAGACCAGCAGCCTGGTCGTAGCGCCTCGCTCAAGCGGACAGTCGGAACGTCGAAACGTCGGTACAAGTCGAAACGTCGAGCGCCAGAAAATGGGGCGGGAGGGGGAGGAGTTGATCAAAAAAGGGGCCTCTTTCTCAGTTTGTTGGGAAAACCGTTTAAGTTGGATGCAAATTGTTTGTTTTTTTTGTGGCGGGGAGACCAAACCAAACTATTGCAACCTTATTTGGCCCTCTTGGGTCTCCTTCATTGTGCCTGCAAAGCGAAGCAGCGATGGTTTGCAGATATAATTTAAGCTCTCAACTTGTCGGCCCCCGAGGTGTGCATTCCAACCAGCTGCTTGAGGCAACGTGTTTTTCCCTCTTAAAAGCCCCCCTCTAGCCCCCCCGTTTGCTTAAAAAGCACTTACACCTAGAGCTGCGAATCTTGCCCACGTCTTATTGGTGAGCAAATCTCATTTGCTCCTGGGCCGATGGCTTACAGGAAGCCACTTGAAAGCCAACCAGCCTAGTTTTGAGGCACCCGTATGGCCGTATGGCTCAGAAAAACCGGGGTAAATGGAACCCTGGCTTTGTGGAAAAACCTGGAAGCCCAAACCCCTGCGGCTTGGCCCTCCCATCGTTTCATTTTGAGCCACCCCCATCTAATCCCCAGACCCCTCGCCCCCAACACCTCACGACAGGATCGGGTCCTCGAGGAGGGCGCCTTTACGGACTGGAACCAGGCGGCGTGGGTGACGGACGCCTGCCGTCCAGGTGTCGCGCCTTCCGCGAAAGGTGCTTTTTTGTAGTGCTGCGTTCGGTTTTGTTTTTTGGCTGCGGTGGACGTTTTTGGTGTGGTTTTTTGGCGGTGGACGTTTTTTGTTGTTGTTGTGTGAGGTTTTGTTGTTTCAAGGGCGGAAGATATCTACGAAGATGGTGGTTTGACATGGATGGCGAGTTGTATGTTACAGCTACGAATCTAAGATACAGTGGATGGACAAACGATCAGCACCAGTTGAGGTACGAAGATCAAGCCCTGTACTTAATAGGTGCGAAGCGGATTTGGTGCATCCACGATCGATTTGCTTCGGATACCCTTTGCCAGGCCAATCCTTCGTTGGCGGTGCAGAGGGGGGATAAGATCCTCAAGGTGAACGGCCTGCATGGCAACCCCCAACTCATGTTTGGGCCTCGGATCCAGCGAGTCGAAGTCGATGACTTGGGTCTATGGTCTAAGCGTACCACACCCCGAGTTGCAATAAAGAGGTGTCAAAACAAGTGAGTTTAGAGACCCAAAGTCCATCAAGACTCGGGTAGTCCGTTGCTTGCGCCGCTTGCAACCTCGCATGGCTACAGGCTACCCACTTAGTACACCCAAGTGACTCGTAGGCTTCGGTTAAAGGCAGGCGGCCAGCTCAAATTCTGAACCTTGGATCTAGGAGCCGAAACGACTAGAATGGTGTTTTGGCATACGTTAAGACCAAATGCACACATCATTGCACAATTAAAGGGGCAACCTAGATTTGTTTTGCCCCCTGCATTACTTGGAGTCAATGTTTCCAGAGTTAAACCCTCGATAAGGTCTTGTTACAAGTGAGGCGTTAAACCACAAGCCTTCTTGAGCGGAGTCAAGCCTGTTGTTTGTGGTTGTACTTCAGGTGACCCACCACTTTGTATCTTGATCACCCTAAGGGTCCAATACGGGCTGGGTAGGTAGAACCAGCGAACCACACCCCGAGTTGCAAAAAAGAGGTGTCTCAGAACAAGTGCGATTTTAGAGCCCCAAAATGGATCCATCGACCGGAAATCTTGGGGCACTTCGAATGAGCGGGTCCTTCTCTGTCCATTGCGGAGGGTAAACCTGGCCCTTTTGGCAGCGTTGAAATCAGTCTCTCTTGTTTCGGGGGGTGATATGTGCCATCATTCACCGATCGGCCCAGGAAACGTTGATTCCAAGTGTTTATGTGTGTCATTTGTTGCAAATGGTCCCATGTATTCCTACGGACAAAATGATTCTAGGCTCATTGCTTGTAATTCCAAAGCAATCACCTTGTACGGGAATAGGTAGTCATGGGGAGCCAGGATGCGTTTCCACAACCGCAACTCTCAGATCTTTTTTGCAATGTTCAAAAAACATGGCCATCAACTTCTGAGGAGTGTTTGACAATCATAGCAGTTCCCATGAAAACCATCAAGCCTCCAGTGCTCTTTTTGTCCCTTGTCTTTGGAGGGGTTGGCCTTTAACGGCAACCAACAAAAAAATGAAAAGGGGCGCCCTTGACAACCAACGTACAGGCTCCCAAGGTCAGACCTCGAGTGCTCGTTTTTGTTTACCTCTTTTAAGAAAAACAAATGGTGCCCCTCGTTTTCACCAATGTAGAAGCTCTGAAAGGAAAGTGACCATCACTGATCCGGAATTTTGATTCTTGCGTTGCCTCGAGGATCTCGGAGATGAGGGAGAAGCAGGTCATTTACGTGCGGCTCGGCGGCATGTGTGTGGCAGATCATTTTTTTGAGCTGGAAGGGAGCCGTTTTCTGTGTGAAGGACATGTTAGTTTTTTGGAGATGGGCCGGCTGAAGAGGAGCCCCACAGGGGAAGTGAGTTCTGGTTGTTGTCAACGATTTGGAAGGACAGATTGAAGGCTTCACTGTTTGTGATGGCATGAGTTTTGATTGTTTTGGAAATTGGCTAAGGTTAAGGTGCGCGCTGCAAAAGAACCAAGTTGTTTTGGCTATAGCAGACCAAGGGTTGTAGGCCAAACTACTGCAGACGAGCCAACCGAAAGTTGTTTCTTGGGGCAAAAAGGGCCTGAAACAACCGGGGAATCCACCAAGGGGTTTGCTGGCCTTCAATTTGGGTCAACACCCCCCCCCTTTAGGTCAGTCAAGCCACTAGAATTGGTAACCGGCCACTGTCCTTTTGGTTTTTATAGGGTGGCAAGCCCTTGGATACCTACTGTGGAAGGACAAAATCCTGCGCCGCGGTGATTCCATGGCTGAAACCACTGTTGTTGGTATTTAGAGGGGAATCATCATAAACTATGGCTTCCTAGGTGGTGCGAAATGGATTTCGTCCATCCACAGTACCATACTGTGGATGGACGAAATCCATTTCGCACCACTTACGAGAACCTGGAATGATGATTCCCTGCAAATACCCACAAACAGCGGTTTCCCAAAGTCCTCACTTCCTGAGTTCATGAACTTCAAACTTTTGGGGAAGACCATTTTGGCGGTAAGCATAAAGTTTGGGACTTTTTTTGGGCCATCCACTAAGCCCGTGAGTTTCCCAAAGTGGCTTGCCTGGAACCATTGCCTTAGAGCCGCGGGAAGCGGCTTGAGCGGCTTGAGGCGCTTCGCGCGAGGGCCGGTTTCAGAGCCTCAGGATGCAGGCATCGATTTTTCGTGGGTGTGTCTGTTTGAGGCTTTCTTGTTTTCCGGATTTTTTGGGAAAACCAACAACCTAACCGTTTTTTGTGTTTTTCCCCTTTCCTTTAAGGGGGGTCGGGGGTAATGATCTCGTTGACATACACCCATGTGTTTTGGTGTCCTTCGGTGTGCCAACTTGAAGGTTTATATTTTCGCAACTTGAGAGAATATAAACCTTCGTGGCACACCGAAGGACAGCGGTCAGCCCGCATGCGGCTGAGTCGGACTAAGAAACGCGGGCGAGTCTTTTGACGCTGGAGGAACACACGGCATTGATAAAGCTTGTGTTCATAGAAACCGGCAAACAAGGATTTTGCTTACCGGAATTTGGCCAAGCACCCACCAAAAGACACGGCAAGCGGAGAACCACATCACCCACCAAAAACAAGTTGATTTCAGCTTTTGAATGTCCCTTTGACGCTTTGACGGGTGGCTTGTAGGCATGCTTCACTTGTTCGTTTGGCTCCCGCACACCCCGTGGCAGTATGTCGACAGCCTGTTGGTCGCGCTGGAAGGATCAGTTGCTCAGCACTGCAACTTTGAAGGACTTGAGCATCATTTGCGCTTTTGACCAGGTCCCCCTGGGTCAGCCAACCAAAATAAGCCTTCCTGGCCCAGCGTAGTTTCTGGGGACAAAGGTGTTTCTTTCGAAGTCTGTGCAATTCGAATGGCTCATTCCTTTGCCGCCCTATTCGCACTGCAAACGAGCTTGTGACTCTGGGCGGTTCATGCTTCAGGATGTCCTTTTGTCATCTTGCAAACGAGCCAGTCGATAGCTTCGGGTGTAGCCCTAGTTGGCACCAAGTACGTACCCCTAGGTTCGAGTCATTGCCAAGGTAGCTGAAATGAGCAAGTGGTTGCATTTGAAAGGGGTCTCCAAACTACTTGCAACCGGGGGCGCCCCATCAAACCACCATGAGTTTGAGGATCAAGCACACATCGATCGCCGGATTCTCTAAATCCCACAGAGTGCCCAAAACCCGAGTTGTTCTGTGGATTGCACCCTCCCAAGACCCAAAGTCAAGCTCCCACAGATGTCTCCCGCGCAGGCGAAACGCCGGTCATCAAGAGCAGCTGGGGTCGCAATGGGTGCAATAGGCCCATGGGCTTCCATGCGACCTGCTTTCATCTCAGTGAAACCTCCCAGAGCTGTGGGTGGCTTCGCGTTTGTCTTTTTGTTTGGGTTGGGGTGGGGTAAACCCCTTTAGCATCAAGTACCAACAAAGGAGCGCGTGTTCTTTTCCCATGGAAAAATCCAAGCGCAGGAATTGCTGGTACCTGACAAACACAGGGGAAGTCGCCCAACAGAAACTGGGAGCGAGCTCTAGTTTTCCCATGTCCTGACCGTGGCTGATCTAAGGTTTCCATTCCCTCAAGATGGGTGTGTTTAAACAGCCGGACCCTGGCCCCATTTAACGGGAAAGCAACTGGAGGCCGTTCACAAGTGGTTGAGACATTTGAACAGAGGTACCCCCATGGCAGTTGTCCCTTTGATTTCCCTTTAAACATCAAACATATTCAAAACAGACACGCCTATATCACCCGTAAGGTTCCAGTGTTTCGGCCATTCCATTTCAAAATAACACATGAGAAGGAACCAGTGAGCCCAACATCAGGAGATCTTGTTGTTTTCTTGAAGCCAACCAGCCGAAACGGGACACCCCACTAGACCGAGGGACGCCACAGGTTGATTGAGAGACCAAAATCCGACCAAACCAAATCCTGGGATGGGAGACTTCGCTTTGGGAGGTTTCTCTCGAATAGGCAAGCCATAACCCTTGGCCATTGTGGGAGTTAGATTTCTGCAGGTCCCAGAATGAGTTGCTTTCCCTTTTCCCTTGTAGACAGGGTGCCGATTTTTGTTTTCCCCATGACCATCCATTGGCTGGATGTTTGCGGTTTAGGCCCCGTTTGAAAGTCGCCCGACTTGATGACTGAAAAGCTGCGGGTGTCTGCTTAGGAGGCTCGCTCCCCACACGGAGGGTGGCTGACTTGACAGATGCTGGGCTGAGATTGGCGTGCGAGTACCCCCCCCCTAAAAAGAACACAACATGGAATCTGAAATGAGAGGGTGATATGTTGATCCTCTTTTCAATCATGAAGCAAGGGATCCCTGAAGGCAGCTAGACGGTATCTCTCTTTTCCAAAATGGTCCAAAAGGCAAGCACTGCCTGAAAGAGGGTCCCTGTTCGGGCAAACTGGTCTTGGAGCTTTCAGGCCTTGCAATGCCGGACTTGTTTGTCAGGAATGATAATATTACCTCTTAAAAACACAACTTTTCAACTTTTTGGGTAACATGGGCTATATGTCTGTAAAAGATTAACTTCCCCAGGGCTTGGAGTTTTAAGGGGTAAGTAATTGAATCGCTTGCATGATTATGATTTTTTGTGGACACATTGTTTCATGGATTCTCTTGCCTTTGCAGCGGGGTGGATGACAACCCAGCTGACAGCAACTCGCTGTTGGCATACCCATTGCTGCTTACAAGACCGAATCCTAACTGGGGTTAGGAACTGCTAACTGGTCGTCCAATCACTCAGTGTTTCGGGGTGGAAGGGCTGTGAATGAGGAAGGGCTGACAATCAGCACGCTCACCGAAGTGAGGACTGGGTTTCTCATCGAAAGTCCAGTGGTTGGGCGCACAATGTGCGGATCTTGCCTCACATCTACAAAGGGCCCCTTGCGTTGTGCATGACCATGTGACTATTGAACATACATTGCGTGATGCCCAGCTGAAATCCCCTGCCGGTGAGCCTCGTTGCCATTTTAATTAGAGGGATTGTTGAGGCTTTGGCCCAAGCCTATCGCTTTGCACCCCCGCCAATTGTTCAGCGGAGCATTTGGTATCAACCAGCACAGTCTTCCAAATTGTCATGGCTCTTATTTGCAGACAGGGTCCCTACACTTAGCTTGCCTCTTGAAGTGAACTCTGCCGGATCAGTCTAGCCCAGCCTCTAACTACCTGGAAATCTCAAGAAGCCTGGATCAGCAGGGCTCCTCGACTGACTTCCTGAGTTCCTGCACTTCAAACTTGTTTGGTGGCATACAAACGGGGTATACTTTTTCTGACCAATCCACTCAGGAAGTGAGATGCTGAATTGATTCAGTAGGTTTGGGCTTTGGGCACTCAACTGAGATTAGGTTGCCTGAGGTTCCCTCCCTTTCTCCTGAGCCTTGCGGCAAAGTTCTGTGGGCCTTCGGAAACCGGCGCAAGGTATGGGTGGCTCGAATCCTCTTTTTAGGTGTCGGACCCCCACAAAGGCGCAGCTGTTTTTCGGTTTATGGTTTTCCTTCAAAACCAATCAGCACGGGGTCCCCTCAAAAAACAATACACACCCGTAGCTTTCAACACAACCCGACAACTCGCACTTCGTGCCCAAGGCCAGGGAGAAGTTCAAGCAGTGACTCGACGCAATGAGTCTGAGGGACCCAAATTACCCCAAGACGTCTCAGAGTTGGGCCCCCAGAAGCCTTAAGGCCAAATAAGGCCAACTGGGGCCCCTGGGTTCCTTTGGGAGGTACGTAGGTCCCTGATAAGACTTGAGGCGTATGGAAGCAGTCTCCTAAAAAAAAAAAAAATGCGGGCCCTGCTTGCACTCAGCGGATTCATGTGCCTCTATAGCAGCTTCCCAGGGAAACCGCTTCTTGAAAAATTGAGATGGCTGGTGTCCTACTATAGACTGGGGTCCATTGGGGCGGACGAAGCATAACTTATTTGGATAGCGCTACTTGATACTTGAGGCTCGGCAAACTGGAAGCCACATGACTCAACCGGACTGCATGACTGGTTCACATCTTGATTCGGACCTGATTTCGACTGGTGTCTTTTCAACTCTCTTCTATATTGGAGGGTTGAACTAAGACGTATGAAACATGATCTGAACGTCTTATTTTCTGAGTACCCCATATTCGGGCCAACATGTGACATCTGGCATTCATGTACTTTGCAGGAAACCTGTTGCGCTCTCTCTCGGGAAGTAGAACCCTGGGAAACTTTGGTCGTCGAGCACCTCCATTGGTGCCCTTTGCCTTTTTTTGGTTGAGGGACGGTTGTGATGGGAGGCTGAGATTGTTCCACACCTCCATTTTTGGATCTGTGTGTTTGTACTCAAGTAGTGTGTGATTCAAAGCTTGCGAGCGACACCAAGCAAAGGGATGCTCTTGTTTTTTAACGATGCCGCTGGGGTCTGGATTAAGCCAGTGGTGAGTTCTCCCCTACCTCACGGTGACTCACAGGATGTCGCAAGCAAACTCGGACCAACTGGTGCGTGTCGAATGCTGGGTTTTTAAGTCCCTAAGTGACAAACTCATTTGGATTTGGACCTCCGTTTGGCCGTGCGTTTTTTGTTGGGCCCAACGTTAGCAGGTGGGCCAAGAACAACAGGGTCCCCTTATCAGTGCTATGATTGTGGACGCACACCAGGCGAGGGGTTTTGACCCAAACCTGCTCAGAGTGCCAAAGCTCGATATAGTCTTGATCTGGAGCAAGAACAGCAAGCCTTTCATTTGGAAGAAGAGCTTTAATGCTTTGGAGGGGTCGTTGGTCACAGGCCCATTCCTTGACGCGCTCGGAGGCAATCCTCAAACCTTCGCAAGGATTATAGTGCTTTTTGAGTATTTAGGGATGAACAAATCGGATTGGCCAACACTCCACGTGGGTCTGTCTGTTTTTGTGGGTGCCCTTAAAACGGGCTTGTTTCCTTGCGGAGAACCAAATGGAAGCCAATAGGAGACACCCATGTTGAACAGTCAAAGTGGCGTGGTATCTGGAAGCCCTGCAAAAAAAAAACGCACGTTTTCACTCAGACCGATTTTCGTCGTAGGCGATGCAACTCAGCCCCGGCATTTGTGGAAGAGGCGATCGCGAAGCCGCGAGCGGTTCTTCCACACCCTGGATCGCCTGAATCCATCAATTAGGTGTGTCTCCACCAAGCGTTTCCCTTTTGATTCCCGTTTCAAAGCCTCCCAAGCGGGGTACTGTGACAGACCCAATCGGGCATTTGTTTTAGTTGGGGACCCGCTGGTGCACGTTGTTTACATGGGGATTCGTGCCCGCTTTTGAGGGGTTGCCTATTGAAAGGCATGGCTCTTTGGGTATTGGGGTTGGCTTAGAGGGAAACCCAAAGGACACCAGGTGTTTAGAGGGAAAGCCGAATACGACAAACCGATTTGGATGGGTTCAAAGATCCAGTTACCACTGTCGCCGTTCGTTTGACTGGGATTCCTGTTGAAATGCAGCTCTAAAGATTCAACAACCGATTTTGTTTCACCAATTGTCAAGGCTTTTGCTGGAGGCACTGGTGGGATTTGAACCCACAACCTTCCCGTGCATAGCGCGGGCCACGCTGCCATTGCGCCACAGGCCCCCGGAATGGCTGAGCAAATTAGGGTCAGAAAGGAAAAATTGCCACCCAGTCGGCTTATCTGGCCCCAGCTTTCTGCAACAAATAGCTTAGAATCAGGGTACCAACTTGTTCCTTTAACTTTTTTCTTTAGTCTGTTTGCCGTTTTTCGAGTCAGGGAACCTAAAGCAATTCTGTATGTTTTTCATATTGCGCTGCAGAATGAATGAAGGAATGGCCAGCATTTGGTTTGCCTTCTTCCTTTCCCAAGAGAGCAAGTCAGGGTCAGCACCTTACTACTGATTCAAGGATCTACATATAGTTGTCTTTTTTTTGAAAAAGAAAAATGTATTCTTTTTAATAGGGATTCTGCCAGGCTGGGCAAAGACCAAGAGACCCAGCCTTTCCCCATTCCTTTCCCAATCGTGTGTGTCGCAACCTAGAGCCCAATTAGGGTCAATGCTGGCCGAGACGATTTCCGGGCTCCCCAGCCCTCGGCCAGTCTTTTGAACCGGCCTTGATGGAACTCCGCGTCCGCTTCTGTCGGTACCTTGCAGGTACATGGGGGTCTGGCTTCTGTACCTGTCCCATCTAGCCGGGTTGAGTATGTTGTGTATGTTGTGGCCTTCGTGTCTCGGGTCCCCTCAAATCAGTGAACCGCTTCACGGGTTGCAACTGCAACTGCCGGGAACGTCGCCAGGAGGACAAGGCGGACGAGACGGAAGAGGACCTCCATGCATGTGTTTGGTTTTACCGAGGTTCTCTATTGGTGTGTCATTTGGCGGTAGCCACTTGTAGATGCCAACCCACTATCTCGGAGAGGGTTCAAAGTTCAAAGGTTTGTTTCAAGTCCCTATCACGGATCCGTTTTTGGGTTTCTCTATGGTACGGGAGCAAGCTGCACTTCTACACCCCTTAGGTCTTTCAGCTATGGGGCATCTCATTAAGCAAAGAGCTCGGGAAGGTGGTCATTTCTTGGGTTGCCTGTGACCAAGGGATAGGCCATAGCCACGGTAGGCTATAGCCACGGGGTTGGGGACCAACCCCAAAATAAACTCAGTCAGCAGGTGATCACCACGGTATGGGGACTGACACACATAAACTCCAACCATGGATAGAATCTACCTTGTCTGATCACATCCAATTGGGTGGAGTAGTTGGGAGATCACCTTTTGAGACCAATGGTCAACAGCTCACTGGGTTCTGCCGGTTAGAACCCACTGCACGGGGACTCATAGCCATGGCAATTAAGTGGGATATGACCATAGTCCAAGGCAAGTACATGGGATACTCACTTTCTGAGTTCATGAACTTTAAACTTTTTGGGAAGACCATTTTAGTGGTAAATATAAAGTTTGGACTTTTTTTGGGCCATCCACTCAGCCAGTGAGGATATAGTTATTAGTCACTTTCAAAGTCTCACTCCCGGAGTTAGACTTTGTGCCCTTCGGGTTTGCACCATGTTATTGGCAAACGGTTTTTGGCTTCGGATTTGGCCGATTCGCTCGGACGCGGTTTGTGGGTCCCTTTGGCGGACGAAAACGTCGCACAAGGCCTTCGTAAGCCTCAAGGCTTTCCACCCTGTGATGGGCGAGCCAAATCTTGGGTGACTGCACCGGTGCCAACTGGGTGCTGCGGTTTGGATCTAGACATCTTCGGATTATCGAAGACCATAATCGGAGGAATCCGCGCAACATGATTCGGCCTCCCACTAGACGAGAAACGACTTAGTATGACCCCGCGGATGAATCCAAACATGAGTTTAGTTGGAATCAGCAATATCAGTAAGAAACAGCTTGCGCAGAGAATCGATCGACATGCATTGACAGGCATTGGTTCTGCCCTCGCGCCTTGCTTGGCACCTCACGGTTGAAGGGTACCTAGTGACTTAGTGTTGACTCTTTGCAGGCTGGGTATGGTTCCAAAATGTATTTGGGAGACTTGCAAGCAAGAATGCACTTGGTGGAGGAGAGGGGCTCCCATCTCGGTATGGTTGTGGATGAGTTGGCATGGGTTGTGGGGCTCCTTCCTGTGAGTGGCTAATGGAAACTTTGAATCGAAAGTCGTGGGGATGGAAATCGACCACTTTGGCAGCTTTTATATAGGACATGTTCTGACATGAGAAGGCAGCATCCTTTTGGGAGCTATAAACATAGTTGCGCCCCAAACAAACGGGTATGACAAGATCAAAACTCCCTTTTGGCGCTACTGATTGTCACGGATCCTTTTGTAAGCAACCCTTTATAAGGGTTCCCAACCATGAAACAATCTTCGCAATATGCATATATATATATATACTTTCTCTTGGGGCCATTTTCTCTACCCTCAGGAGAAGTGGAAGCGGGAGAAGAAGGCTCTCGCCACTCCATCTCCTATCGTTTGCCAGGCGGCAACCGATCCTTCGCGGTTTCTTTTTTTGTCTTTTTCTTTTGGTTTGGCGTGCGAGTTTTTGTTGACCTTGCAATCTAAGAGTTCCCCACCCCTTAGGTCTTTTTCAAAGACGTTTGACACTCAACAGGGTAGGTACCCCCGCATGTACGCTCGTGCATGCCGCATTTGGTGATTGTGTTGGCAAATGGTCCTTGGTGTTGTGGCCATTGCCTTACACGCCAGCATTGGACAATTACATCCATGCAACTTTTCAGACAGACCACTTTGTGCAAGGGCGTACCTGTTGTTCACCCCCCTTGGCTCTCTTGCTACCGACCCAAGTTTGTTACAGGCCTTTGCGATCTTCTCATGTGTGTAGAGGGCATGCGCAAATCTTCAATAATTTGGCCGTTTCATGCATGTGGCTGAAGAGGTTTGTCGCTCGGGCCCACCCGGGGTTCAAAGCAGTATCTGGTCTCAACGAGAGCCACAATCAAATTACCTTCAGGTAGTTTTAGTAGGAGACGGCCCAACCGGAAACAAGTGTGGCCGTTCAGATTCATCTCGTGGCTTTGCTTATACCACTTGTATTCCTGGTCCTGATTGTGACTCAATGGGTTGTTCTTGAACGAGGCGGCCAAAGGCCAGTCAACCGTGGGAAGGACGTATTCCCAAGGCAGCCCTAGCTCATCATCATCAGGCCTTGACAAGGCGTTTTCACTGTTTGGGTGTGGTTGTGGTTAGTGTCCTTGTTTTGGTTGTCGTCTTGGTGGCGCTTGGTGGCAAGAATGCAGTGGATTCCCAACACAACAAGGCTTAAGAGGCCAAAGGCCAGAGGAATCATGAACAGATGCTCACTTGACGAGTTCCTGAGCTTTAGTCACTTTTTGGGCTTGGACAGTTTTGGTGGTAGACAAACAGATTTGGTTACATGTTATTGCCATTACCAATAAACTTGGGAAGTGAGGATGGATCTTTGAAGAACTGCTATCTTTTTGTTGTGTTTTTTTGCTTGTACTTGCCCGTTGAAGAATGGCAAGCGGTCGTAGAAGGCTACCCTGTTTTCCATTGCTTTTCCCTGTTGGAAGACTCGAAATCTGGAAACAATGTTTAACATATTTTACTTTTTACCTTTTTGAACTTCCACTGAAGCACAACGGTTTCAACCTACCCTCCAAAATGGCACATTTCCCCCAAACAGTATGGGGCAACATCCAGGTTTACGGCTACTCTTGCTGGTTCTCGGCAGGTAATGTGGGAATGACCCCGCTCTGAGCCATCCAACCGGTTTCCTTTACTCAGGACTCCAAGGCCTCCATCCGCATCGCGGAGGACATGGACGTGGGTACCAACATGGGTCGGGTTTGCTGTTGCCTCCCTGTTCGAACCACCCCAAAAAGGGGTGTCCCCCAAAAAAGACACCCAAGCAAGACTGGGGTCATGGTTGGTGCCGAAGAATCCCAGACGCCAGGTGCTTCTTAACTTATATCCTTGTTCTTGTTCCTTTTTGTTTATGTGTTTCTAGTGTCATGTTATTTGTAAATCGTCCCATCTCTGTTTCACTTGAATCTCCAATAAAAAAAGCCAATAGTCAGCACGCGCTGTGTTTAACGAGGAGCTGAAAGGCGGCAGCGCTGATCGCGGTTTGTGGGCCATGACTTGATGAGTTGGGCGCGTATGTTTGAGCAATGATTGAGAGCTTCGGCCGTTTGGCTACGTCGCCTCGAACATGTTCGCAGAACTTGCCATTTTTTGGTTGAGCCTTGAGGCGTGTTGCACCCAGGTCTCAGTGCGGCATTGAGCTCCTCATGCTTGATTTGCATCTCTGCATTTGGTCATCTTAGGACTATGTTATTGCTTAGTGATGTTCATTCATAGCAATATGTTTATCACAGGAAATGCTCACGTATCCCGGTGTTTATATCTATGTCATGTTTTCCATTTCCTTTGAAGGGAATTCTCTTTAAAATCGACTAAAAGACGAGTGCCCGGTATTGTCCCCTGGACACGCAGGGGGCTCACGGGGATCTTGGTAGCTCATGCCGTTTGTGGCCAAAACTAGCGTTTTAAACTTTGGAGTCAGATGTTTTTGGACTCTGGCCTGAGCATTTGTTTTTGAGGTCCAAACAGTATGGAGATGTCTTGCCGATGGGTCCAATGCCTTGATATCTTAGATCTCTTGGCGAAAGTGAACCAAGAACAGATCTAAGTCCTAAGTTTTGGGTTCAAGGTTGACTCAAGAGGTCCACCCGCGGGCAGGTTCCTGTATCCAAGCATGGCATATGTGCGGTTCTTCCATGCATGTGAATTCGGGGAGTAGCACAAGGAAGGGGACGAAGCCAAAAATAGGGGAGTCAACAAGCCACACAACACGCAGATGGCCCATAGCTTATTTTGGTGTTCATCAAACCCTTTTCCAATATTCAGGCTCTTATAGTAGATCTCACATTCGGCCTCCCCATCTTCGTTTCATCATCACCTAGTATCGACAGGCAGAAGATTGTGCCATCTTTTTTCACCCAACCGCACTTTCTGGCGTTTGGTTTTCTTTTGGACTCTGCAACTTCACATGCATATTATACCTTGTGGTGCTAAATAGCTACGTTTGAAGCTGCTTTAGTTGATATCAAAAGGGGTGGATCAACACATAGTTTTGATTTCCAGGCGATATTGGCATGGAACCCTTTTAGTCCTGACCCCTTCGTGTAGATGGCTTGCGTTGCAAACACAGTCAGCCGCAGAACCGCATCTGCAAAACCTATACTATCAGAACCCTCTGACGGTTCCAGATGCATGTGAGCAATCTCTTTTGGCAGGATGAACCGGACTGGAAGCCCTTTTATGAGGAGGGGCAGGAGGCTCGGACGAGGGGATGTCGAGGGCAAAGGATTTGGGCACATCAAATCGCCTGTGCAACCTCGGGTCCCAGGATAAAGGGGAGGAGGTGGCAGATCCTCATTCTGGGCAGCTGAGTTCTGTTGAATTTGCTCCCAGAATAGTGCTGCGTGGGCATGCGGGCATCCTTCCGCGGCCTTTTGGCAAAAGAGCGCCTGGCAATGCCGTGATTGCTCGCGTGGGTGTGTCTCAAAATAGGAGAAGTTCCCCCAGAAAAGTGGTTTTCCTTTTTGGCTTGCCTTCAAATCAACCTGAAAACGGTACCAACTCAAAACAAACACCCACATGTGGTGGTTGATGCTGGTTTTTGGCTCACGTCCTGAGTTTCTGGACTTTATACTTTCTGGGAAGACCGTTTTAGGGAACAAAAAGTTCAGACTTTTTCTGGCCAACCACTCAGGAAGTGAGTTGGTGTGAGGCGGATTACTGGCGAGCCGCTTTTTTTTTTTTTTTTTTCTTTTTTTTTTTTTTTTCGAGAGCACTGCTTGTCCCGTTCGCTAGAGAAGGAGGGCATAGTATACTACTTTGTGCATGAGATATCTGGCATGTCTTGTTAATTCGGACCCTAAGAATCTTCAGACCTCAAGGTTTCAAGGTGTACACCCTATGAAGATCTCTTGCCCCACTGGAGGGTCCAATGATGCAGGTGGGATATGTGGAATCCGGTCTTGACAGCTACTCCCGAGCGTTGTGCGGAGCTTGCAGCTAAACCCTTCCAATACAGGGGAAACACCAGCATGTAAAGGCTAGAGGTGGGCATCTCTCGTTTTTCTTTGCCATGGCGGGGTTACTGAACCAGACAGACCCAGTCCTGCCAAGCCGGCCTTTTGAGGCCAGTCGGACGACATTCCTATGTTTTCAAGGGGTTTCTGGGTGCGTCTTTGGCAGCAAGCATCCCTGGAAAGAAAGTTTGGATGTTTAACATGCCCTCCAGGCGATTCCATGGAAGCTCCCGGAGCCCTTTCGGAAGGGTTGGTTCCATGTTGCAGGCACAACCAAAGTTGGTAGTGAGCGTCTAAAACCACCATTGGCCCGTTCTTTATATATGTTCCTGAGTTTAAACTTTGTGGAAAGGACCGTTTTAGTGGCATAGAAACTGTTTAGACTTTTCTGGCCAATCCACTCAGGAAGTGAGTATACGGGTCACAGTCCATCCCAGTGATTGTGATTCCATTTCCCTCTACGGCAGGTAACCACAGCCTGTAAAAGACATGAGGAGCATGGCTGTTGATGTCAACCCCTACCCAAAAAGGGAGGCACTCTCTGGTACTGTGGATCGACAAGAATCCTGCACCACTGTGAAACCATGATTGAAATCTTTGTTTGTTGGTACTTACAGGGGAATCGAATCATTCCACTTTCTTTGGTGGTGCAGGATTTCAACCGAATCATTCCAGACTTTCTGAACGGTGGTGCGACATGAATTTCGTCAGAGTCAAACAGATCGACGCAGGAGAGGGGCTGTCCGGATTTCCGGGAGAACTGCCGAGAGCAGTGCCGGGAGTACTGCCAGGAGGAGAAGCCAAACGGGTTCGCTACAACAGGTAGCGTCCGAATACCTTAGTCTTGTTGGACCCTAGGCACCCCCATCTCTCAAAATCAAGCACGAGGTTTAGCTCCCCTCCATTTGATGGTTGGTGGTTTGAATTGGTGGCTTGGAGGTTTGTGGCTGGTTTCGCCTTTACCCTCTACAAGGACCCAGGTTTGAAATCCCCAGTTCCCACCAACCCAAATCATCAATTCATATCTCATGAATTTTGAAACCCGTTAACCAGCAATTTAAGCAAAAACAAAACATATCAACTGCCAAAGGCTTGTTTGAGTGCATCTTTTTCGAGGCTACCCTTTTTGGTGGTGATTTGAAGAGGATCGAAACTGGAGATTCGGCCCATTTCGGCATCCCGAACCCCACGTTCGAGGAAAAAACATCGTCCAAAGGCCATGAAGCCCATGTTGGCTGGAAATTCATCGATCAGTGGCCGTAGGAGCAACAAAGAAGCGGCACCCTCTCTTTTGTAGTTGACTTGAAAGAGGCCCCCCCCCAAAAAAAAAAAGAGATGAAACATGAGACGGGGTCAACTTGTTCAAAGAAATCCAAGTCCACCTGTCCATTGTTTGAAAGGGGACCGGGCCCCGATGTGGGGAAATGAAGCATTGGCCAGCTTGTTTGAAGTTTGTTAGGGAAGGCAAATACTGTGGATGGTTGCACGAACCCACTTCGCACCCCTTGGGAGTGCTTGTTTCCCCCATGCAAAAAGGGATTCATCCATCCCAGGTGTCCATGTTATTCACCCGATCTCCCAGTAACACGCATCCCCAAACGGGGCGAAGCCCTTGGGGTTCCAGTCTTGGGTGCCTAAACAGAAAAACAGGTTGGCATACATAGGTGTCCTTTTTGGTTGTTTTGGTCGAAAAATAGATGGCCCTGGTTTACCTGGCGGTTTAATCATCTACCAGGGCCATGGGACTGGTGGTTGGCCATACCTTAAAATGGCTGTGGCAACCAAAATTAACCAGGAGGGGCAAACTGCAGGTTTTGTGCCAGGTTTCCACTTGCCAGGGCAAGCCATTTTGGAATTCTGTTTTTTTGAGCCACAGCCAAATCAATTTCAGCCATAGGAGAAACTGAAAAAAAAAAAAAAAAAACGAGCGCGCACGTAGGAACTGCATGTCATGAACTCCGGTTTGAGCTTTCCAAGCAACATTGTCTATCCTTGGTGTGCCTTAAAAACACAAATGGGTGCCGCGTCTTTGATAACCGTTGCTGGTTGATTTAAAGGGGAAACCAAAAGGAACACAGCCATTTTTTGGGGGAGGTCCTTTAAAAACAGGCTTTAGGTTGGTTTAAGGTATCGCCTTTTGGGCCATCAGGGGAGTTTCCGTTTCGTGATATACCACTGAAGGTTTTGGCTTTCTTGGGGCGCGGTCCGATTTCTTTTTTGTTTTTTTGTGCTTCCGGTTGAAAGTCCGGGAACTCGGGGAGTGAGTCTGGTGACACCCTGCAACCTAACCTGAAGCCTTGGAATCCAAAAGTAACCTACGCCGCGTCTTCTTCTTCTTTTTCTCGAGCGGAACGCGGCCTCTTGGAACCCGAGAACCGCAGGAGAGCGTGTTGTCCTTCCTGAGCTGCGGGCGCAGAGGCGAGAAGATGAGATGCGATCTGCCCGAGGGTGTTTGGGCCCGCCAAATGGCTGGAAATGGTAGACTTGGGATACATTTTACAGATTTTACCAGCCACTCCAAGGGAAGCAAAACAATAAAATACGAATTCTACAACTGGGCCTAACTCTAATCATGATGGGTTGTCATTGAGGGCCCTTGAGGGGTCGGGGTTCTCCATTGGAGGGTCCGGGGGTCTGCATTGGAGGGGTCATGACCCTTAGGGTGAATTAAGTTTGATTCTTTTTGGCTTCCCTTTGGCTAAAACGGGGTCCACCATGTTGAGGAACTCCTTCCTTCACGGTTGGGGCTGTCTTTTTTGAGTTTGGTCCCTTTTGTTTGGTGTGCTTTAGCCGGACACCAAAAGGAACACCCAAGCCTTTTTTGCGGAGTTCCCCAAACGGACATACCCGGTTGGTTTCTTTTTGGCTTCCCTGTGACTACCAACTACAATAGGTCTCCGATCCCAGAACTAGGTGATATGAAACAGACCCAGACAATACACACAGATATGTATATACATTGTATGCACATGCAAACACTTGGTTTTCCGCAGATTTGGACCAAAGTGATTCAGTCATTGGATGGTCGTCGGCATCATGCTTTAAGACGTTCGCCAGGGCCGAGCTCCCCAATCGAGCCGGCGCCGGAGCCGCTGTGCCGACGCTCGGCGCAGTGAAAGTGAGCGCGAAGGTTTTTATAGTTGGTTCTCCCTTTTGTGGTCTTAAGAAAGCGGACACCAGAAGGAAAACTGCCAGTTTCTCTTGTGGACCGTAACAACCCTGATTTGTTGGTTTTTGTCTGTGGGTTGGAAAAAACACTTGTGGGCCAGGTTGGCCAGGTTTAAACTGAGCTTCCTTTTGGTGAGGTAATGTTTTCAGAGGAAAAAGACATGGACATCCTGTATTTTCCGGCAAGCTCACCATGAAGGTCCTGTACTTTACTAACATGTTTTTTACGGAGCTCCGATCGGTCCCCTCCCACCAACTATCATGGAAGTGCCAAAAGGCCCTTTCCAAGAGGAAAGTAGTCTTTCTGCAGGGGTCTGTGCACTTCCATGTTTGCTGGTGGGAGGGTAACCCATTTCCTTCGAAAGAGGAACCACCCCCCGCTCCGGAAGCGCTCCCTGCCGACCACCAGCTAGTTATAGGCTTGGGAATCTGCCCATTGGACTTGTGGCCAATCTAGGTGAGTTCTTGGGCCTGGCGCGATTTCATATGGGTCAAGGCTCCAACCATAGGTGTCCTTTTGATCGGTTAGTTTGATTAGAAATAGATGGCACTGGTTTAGATTGGTTTTGTTCCATTTACCAGGGAAACCTTTTTTTTCCGAACAAGGACACTGATGATTTGTTTGGGGAGACGTTCAGCATTTTTCTGGGCAAACGTATGTGCACCTGAGCAAAGGGGTTGGGTGATCAACCGATTTTACCCGATGATGAAGGTTCGTGTTTGGGGGTACCTGAGTGAATTTGTTAGCAGAAAATTTTAGCGGTGTATACACATGGGACCTCATACACTTAAAGGGGCATACTACTCGGGGATCTCATGCTTATGAAGACCGCCGCTTGGAATTGCACTGAAAGCAACTTGGGATAAGAGTTTTAAAACGGGTCTTTTTTCCAGCTCAATTCTGGTTTGAGGTTTCCACTTTTCTTCATTGGCCATATACAGTACGGTGACGATCATGGATGGTTCGGAGCAGCTTTCAGAATTTTCAGAGAGGTTCCGATTCTGGGGTTGCGGGAAGCATCAGCATTCACCTGCAAGATGCACGGAGCAGATGAACGAAGATGCCACGGGCACCGGGCCCAACATTCCTTTTCTTGGGAGCACGTGACTCCGAGCAACAGAGCCATCTGTTTTTGGAAGGGTTGCCCTAAGACGACACTTGAAGACATGGTTGCGGTTTCGTTTTTTTGGGATCTCTTGGAGGGGTATGGGCTTTCCAAGATACGTTGGTGGGGTTTCTCTCCAAGCCACCGGTTGGTAAACTTGAGAGTCCATAGTGGATGGACCTGGGAGCAGGTCACTCACGACCTGTTCCAGCTCAGCGAATTCCGGGCCCCAAGAACATACTTTTTTTGTTTTCAGAAGGGCCCCTCATAGGACGTGGGTTGTTTGACACACAAGGATTTAGTATATATATATATATGTATAGTTGTCTTTTTTTGGGCGGGTTCGGATCTGTCACTGGAATGCACCAACAAGGTTCCGACCCGGGAAGGGACTATTCTGTGAGCTCCCAGCCGTTGATTCTGGACACTCCCAGAATCCTCGCCAAGTGGTGTGCCAGATGCCGCCATCTGCACAGAGGAAATCCCCCCGGCGTAAGTAACCAGCCATTTCCCGTTGGGTTGGAGAGTGCTTGGTCGCTCCACTGGAATGCCTTAGCTTGCAGTTCAATTGTTTGCACCTTCAAGATCCGGATCCCCTAGTAGTGGCCTTTTACCGTGTCTTTTTTTGGGGGAGGGTTCCCCTACTAAAATAGACTACAGAACAAAGGGTACCCTTATTCTAACCTCCCTACTGGAGGACGTAGACATGTGTGGCCTTTACCGGCCACATTCCGGTAAACCGATATCCGAGAGATTTGGACCTTAGGCCACGGACCCAACCCCCAAACACCCGCGCGCGGCACGCCGGCTCAGGCTAGTGCCGACCTTCTGGAACGAGCGCAGGCGGATTCTCAGTTGACCGGGAAGCCAAATCAGCTGACAAAGGTATGGTCGATTTACAAACTCAGTCAAACTTTGTCAGCTGCTTTGGCTTCAGCCGATGGATTGAGTTTCTGGACTTCAGACTGTTTGGTTTCGGACCATTACCATTTTTGGTCAGAAACTCTGTCTTGCTTTCGCCAATCCACTGGATCGCATGTGAGTCGTCGGGGGAGAGCATAGGGGACCCACTTGACACACGCCTGATTTGTTCGGCAAGACCTGCCTCCATCCGCCATGGAATGGAAGATTACCTGGTTGTCAACAAGTCTCACTTCCAAGGAGGCCCCATCGGAGGGGGTGTACGGCGGTGACAGACCAGTTGCAATCATGCAATCATGAGCAACGGTCCAAATGCTCACAGACATTTACCAGTCAAGGGAATGACATTGTGTGCCAAACTCCGGCGTCATCAAGGCGCACGCTGAGTATTTCGATCCGGGCTAGAGACGAGAAGTGTAGATGCGTTCTTTTTCTCCCACGCCAGGCCCGGGGACAAAGAGCCCACCGCCAGCGCTTAGAACCGACAATCTGCGTCGTCCTTTAAGAAGACCTCACTTGCCTAAAGCGAATCGACTTTTTGACCTTTTGGTTCCCCTCGTTTGCTCCATTTTGTGTGGATCTTCTTTTCCAGTGGCAACTGCGAAGACAATGGTCCAATCTCGGTGTTTTGTTTTGGACCTGCCGTTGGTTCACTCGTTGGTTCCATTTGGTCCAAAAAGGTGAACCTAGTATGTACAGACCCTTTCAGGTGAGAAAGGCCCAAGACCAAAGAGCCATGAACACTTTCGGGAAACCATATCCAACCATAGTTCATAAATTCCTTTGACCAAAACCATATGAGTTCCTTGTTAACTTGTCCACTACCCTTGTTACCAAACGTCTTGGTTCCCTTTTGCAGGTACTCCCGTCGTTTTTCATTGCGAGCGGCCAACTTTAAAGGACGGCCTGGCCCAACAACACTCGGCGCATGCCGATGCGCCCCTTTTCACTCAGGCGAAGCGAAGCAAGCGGCGCTCCGCTTTGATCCAATGGAGCAGTAAGTAAGCAAAACCCAGGGCTAGAAAATTGGTTTGGTTTCTTTGGCTGTTGTTGGTTTCCTTTGGTGTCCCCAGGACCCATTTCTTTTCTGGCACAAACCTGAGCGTTGCAAGCTGGGAATTCATCGCTCGGGCTCAACTCAAGGTTTGGAAACTTCAGGCATGGGAGTTCCCGCAGTGGACTTAGTTGTCCCAAGTCCTTCAGGGCAAACAACCTGCATCGGCCAAGCTACCTAAGTGGCTAGTAACCTAGGTCCAGGTCATCAACTTATCAGTCCCCCGAAGTGGGGTTGACCTCGAAAATCGGGGGTTAGAACCCAAGCGGCTAGCCACTTGCTTACTTGGCCGAACATCCAAGAAGCAGGTTTGACCGTGGCATTCAGGCGTCTCTTGTAGGTCGGTTTCAGGGAAAGTCGCGAGAAATCCCATCATTTGCGACGGTCCCCCTAGTTTGACAACCTACCCATTCCAGTGCTTCGAGTTTCTATGGGCAACCAGGTATGTTTACTGTGGGGTTTTCATGAGGGCTTCCCCACTCTCGAAAACGGCTTGGATGAATTTTATTAGATCTCACCTGTCTTCCCCTTTTGGGTCCTTTCTTAGTAACCTTTTTGCACACTATTCACATTCTAGAGGCGTGGATCCGCAGATTCGCCACATCCAACCCGTTTTCTCCAAATACGACGGTCGCTGGAAGCAGTGAGCGATGCGAGCCAAGCGAAGCCTCCGAGACCTTCTTCAGCCCAAAGCGGTCGATGCACGAGTCTCACCCAGTGGGCCGGAAATGAGGTTTAACGCTTGGCCCCCTGGAGCAAATAGAGCCACTCCCCTTCTAGTGTATGTGTATATATATTATAGATGTGTGTGAGGTATATACGTATAGACAATACATATGTATATATATATATATATATGTATTAGTACCCGCATAATATATATATATATATGCAAACCCTGCTAGTATTGGGCCCTTTCTCTTTCCGTTGTCGATTTCCTGGAAAGCCAGCTGGTCTGACATGGAAGCCAGGACAATTCCACCAGTCAGAACACAGGGGTTCCCATTTCTTTGGAGGTCAAGTGTTCTTCCTCGGCCAGCCGCCAGAAAAGAACATCCAACTGGCGGACGGGAGGTTCCGCTTCGCTCAGCGAGCGGCAAAAAAAAACTTGGGCTGACGCAGTGCTCGGACGTTTTTGTTCGTTTACAAACTGGTTTCGGCGGCACATGCCTTGGATCATGTCAATCAAACGCCTCGAGGTCTAACCAATCCAAGTGAGAATAGTTGAGCCAGAGTCCCGCATTAGAGTTCATTTCAATGGGCTCGCTGCTGCGTCTTCGTTGGTTTGCTTCCTTTTTACCCGAGGAGCTGCAAAGAGCGTTCAGCTTGCTGGTGACTTTCCTTCAGGCAACACTTATGGAACAGGTCCAACCATATGTCCGACGTTTGGCTCACAGCTTGCCTTCCACGCAGGATTGAATGCCCCTCATCCCAGCAGCTCCCTGAAATACAACATATTCCTCGGAAATAACGCGCAAAGTATCGGCTGACCTGGCGGAGTGTTTCCTTTGACTTAGGGACCTGCTTTTCTCCCCATCGATGTTCAACCAATATATACGCTGAAAGACTTGGCCGGTGAAATTCATCGGAGTCAGAAAGAAGCGCGGTGAAACTGCACCAGACGGTCCCAAGATCCTTGAAAGCATCCGAAAGCCCAAGGCCCAAGAAGGTCCTTCAAGCCATGGCCTTCTTGAGCCAAGCCACGCTGAGTCTGGACTTGGCCGATGAGATCACCAAGCACGCGGTGAACGTCTGCAAGTCACAGGTCCGTGGGTTGAGGTGGGTTGAGGTGGGTTGAGGTGGGTTGAGGTGGGTTGAGGTGGGTTGAGGTGGGTTGAGGTGGGTTGAGGTGGGTTGAGGTGGGTTGAGGTGGGCTGGGGGGAAGGGGGGTTCGGTGTTTGGAGTGGGCATAAACGTTTTAGAGGGCTCAACAAAAAATGAAGTTCCAGTGGTTGGTTTGCTTATTTGCAGTTGGGGTTGCTGGCAATTCCATCTTAGTTCAACTTGGTTTGGAGGCGATGCCTTCAAAGCCACCCCCTCAAGGTTGTGTTGAGTACCTCCAACATGCTCACTTCTCTCAGACGTGCAGTGGGGCAGTGGTTGTTGTTGTTTTTTTGGTCAGCTTGCTCGGACCCTGCAAACGCGCCTCGAAATGATAACGTCCAAATCCCCCTTTCCCCTCAAACGCCCCCCCACCTTGTTGGTACTGTGGATGGACGAAATCCTGCACCATCTAGGAAACCCTGAAAAGATGATTCTCGAGAGATCTCGTAAATACCAACCAACCACGGTTTCGACCATGGTTAAAAAGTGGTGCGACATGGCACAATATCACCGATTCCGAGTGATTTGCCACAAGGAACAATGACTCGCTGACTCCCTTGAGGGATTCAAGCCGATCTCCATCTGTGTGCTGGACAATGCTGGAGCGGTGATCGTGCAGAAGAGGACGGATTCGAGCCGCGAACATGGAGTCAACCCCGTCTGAAACCTCGACCTCGCAAACCAAAGCCCCCTCAGCATCATAATACAATCATATCAATACTAACAGTAACAGTATCAATAGTATCAATCGTATCAATAAAGCATACGTGGGTCACAAGCAGCACCCCAGAAGCTGAACCGTTTTTTTTTCCCCGAACCTGAGACGCCAAGAAACCGCTCGGAGGATGGACGGCTGCCCTGCGGGCGCCTTCGACTCCTTCGCGCTGGCCAAGGCCCGGACTTGCGCGCGGCTCCACATGTCCTCCAGGCCGGGCTGGGGTTCGGTGCCTGTGTTGAGCTCTTTTTTTTGGGAGGGCCATGGTTGGGGGGGTTTAGGGGTTTAGGGGTTTAGGGGTTTAGGGGTTTATTAGGGGTTTAGGGGTTTAGGGGTTTAGGGGTTTAGGGGTTTAGGGTCAAACAAGAGCAGGGGTCACAAAATGATGGGTTCGATGATTTGGAGACCTTGAGATATCTTCAATTGAAACCAGTGGTACCTTTAGGATACTTTGAGAGTACCAAGTTTGGTTGCTATTTACAGGGACACCAAAAGGAAACTGTGGCCATGTTGGAGGTTCTCCTATTTTGAGACACCCATTTGAGCAACCACATTCAATTCCCATTAGCGATTTTAGCAGGTGGTTCCTTTTTCCCCAGTGTAAGAGAGGCTAGCATCGATGGGGATTGGGCGCTGTTCATGTGTTCATTGCCAGATTTCTCTGAAATGTTAGATCTGACCTGTTCAATTTGCCCTTGTGGGTTTGTTTCATGTTCATTTTGCATAACCTGAAGCAGTTGTCACTTTTGCATATCGCGTCCATTTGGCAACAGAGGTGTTCCTCAATCAATGACCAACAAGAGTCTCTTGAGCCACTTGGGAAGAACATTCTAGTGGCAGGCAAGCAGTGTGGAATTTATTTCTGCCAATCTACATTCATCTTGTCGCGATCCTCGCTGAATTGTGACATTCAGTAGTCATAGGGATGCGAATCAACCACTTTGGTGTCACAGGTTGTGGACCCATTTCTACATCTTGAGTGAGCATTTGATTGAACACGGTTAAACCACTCCCTGAGTTTCTGGACTTAAAGGTTTTGGGGATGACAACTTTAGTGGTAATTAGGCATTTTGGACTTTGGTTGGCTACTCCGCTCGGGAAGTGAGTTCAATCAATGTTGTTGAAAGATCCGCCAGACATTGCCAGCCGCCTGCATGACCCAAATGGGCGCTTTGCCCTTCCGGCTTTTCTGTAACAAGCAAGACCTCTCCACTTTTGGTCGGGGGATCCATTTGGCCAAGGAGCTTAGCACAACCTGGGGCCTACCATGAATTTGTATTTTGGATTATTTTGGGGTACGTGATCCAACCAAAAGTTAGGTGAAACGAGCGCTTTTTGCTGCATGTCTTTTGGTCCAGGGCCTTCCGCAGCAAATACTCGGACAGCAACCCCGAGAAGTTTGTGCAGGGCCACATGGCTGTTGGTTTTGGCGTCCTTCGGCCGGGGTTTTGGTCAGGGGCCTGATCGTTGTTGACGGGTTCGAGTAAACGGGTTGCGAAAACCACCAACTTTGACTTTGGTCCAAGTGACACGCATCGAAGGGCATCGCTGCCCGCTGCCCCTTTCAGGCAGCCGCAGCGTTCCAACTTGGCTTGGTTGAGGTGTTGGTGTGAGCTTTGGGTTTGTTTGGTCCTTGGTTGGTGTTGGTGTTGGTGTTAGCTTGCCATTACAGATCCATCCCCACAGACAAAGTAATATGCGGAAGGGTGCGCAGCCTTTCTCGACTGGCGCCTCCCCACGTACCTTAGGCACAGGGGGCCCAAAGTGTTTCATATTCCTTTTGCAGCTCAACCGCAAAGGTTTGCACTGGCCGAGCAATGCTCGGTACAAGAGAGTGCGTTTTTTAGTCGGCGGCCAGAAATCGGTGAGGATGTGTTTTTCATGGGACAAATGGTCAAGAACACTAGATCTTGCGGTGTTTCCTGACTGAGCGGACCTTCTGTTCCGAACTGTGCAACTTTTAAGAAGCTCCCTTGCTGAGTTCATGGACTTTAGTCATTCTTTTTCGGGGAAAAAACAATATTTTAAGAATACTCAAGCAGTCCGGTGACATGATTTTCGGCCAATCCGCGCGATTGGAAGTGGGGATAGCTTCGCGTCAAAGATCCAAGGCGGTTGCTCTGGATGTTCCAAACCTCTCAATTAAAAAAATGGCGGTTCCGAGCCATCCGGTTCTTTATGTTGTTAGGTTTTTAGGGTTTCTTTTAAGATTCGACTTGTTGAGATTCCAATTTATTTAGTATTGCTGGTGATACTTCTTTTTTTTGGGGGGGGAGGTTTCCTTTCAACCTACTACAAGTTAAACTTTCAGCAGGGAATCAGTTTGGACAGCCCAGTTGTGTGTTTTGCAGCTTGGGTCTTGGGTTGCCAAGTTTCTACCTGACTTTAAGTGTTGGATTACTTTGTTGTGTGTTTACGTCAGCTTTCCTTTCCACCTAACAGGCAACTGGAGGGCTGGAGTGGCTTGCGACTGTTGAAGTCGGTTGGCGTATGTGGTTAGTTGTTTTTTTGGTTCTGTTATATTGCACCTCTAGTACATGAGATACATATACAGATATATATATATATATATATACATGTGTGTCCCAATGACATTTCTGGGATCAGGTAGTTTGGGGTGGAATCCATCGACTATCTAAACATGATTAAAGTACTACTGGCCAACCAGAATTGTCCAAACCGGAAAGTGGTGCTCTAGTTTTTGGACGGGGTTCCGATTTTTATCAACTACCAGAACAGCGAGCCCTTTCTTTCCTTGGCCATTGGGGTTTGTGCAATGTTAGCACAAGGCTTCATTGTTCCCAACTAAAACATAGCCCCGCTTTTCCCTGATAGTGGTTTGAGGGTAGTGAAAACCCACTTTTTGTTAGGGTTATGATGTCACCCCGGACTAAAACAGCAATTGTTTACCCAGGGACAACCGGCTTCCTAAACATATCCCGTTTAAACAAGATTGTTTTTTGGTGTAGCCAAGGTTGGGCGTTGAAAGTAACGGCTTAAGTTCGCATCCTTTCTTGGAGCGTACCAACCCAAAAATCAAATCTCCCCGTCAATTCGCCTACTGGATGCTTGACGGCTGACCTTCCGAGTTGCCTGGACTTTAAGCTGTTTGGGAATACCATCAGTTTGGTGGTAAATCGCCGTGGGTCAACACCAATGGTACCATTTTGGTAGGTGAATTCACCACCTATAGTCGAAATTTTAGTGTGGATTGGAATGTTCACTGGATATACGATTGGGGTTTTGACCCACAGCCAAACCACTCAGGAAGCGAGACGGACCGTGAAATGGGGTATCGCCAAACCGCCACACCGCCGAGGCATTTCCATGATTTCCATCGTGGACGATGGCCTCGCGCCCTTCCCCGGGGGCGTTTTGATCCTCGACCCGGTAAAACCAGGGAACGAGAACGCGGATGAATAGGTGTCCTTGTTGGTTGGTTTGCTTAAAAATGGAGGGCACTGGTTTGGATGGGGTTTATTCCATTTACCAGGGTCATCTATTTTTCCAGAAGGCCACCTATGCACGGATGTGTTTGGATTCCATTTTTCTGGCTTTGGAATTATGGTACCTCTTAATTGGGGGAGACAAAGACGACTCCTGGACACCTCCGTTCCATTTCGTCTCTGGGGAAGATGGGAAACTGTTACTGCGCAAATTAACATGGACCACCGAAAAGGGTTCTCCCAACAGGAGCTGCTTCTAAGCACAGTGTCGGGTTCCATGTGGATTTGCCGAGTAACTCTTGGGTCACAGGAGCGGGGATTCCGAACAGAGAGAAGCAACTGGCAGAGGAATCAAGATCTTTCAACCTGTCCACGTTTTCTCTCATAGATCTGTCCGGATTGATCTCAGCCAAAGCGGGCACACGGCTCCTGGACCCTCAAACCATCCCAATGGGACATTGGCCTAAAACTATGGGTGGTCTCCAATTTGTAAGGGGCAGTCGGGTCCAGGTTGAAGTTTCCAAAAACAGCTATCCCTTTTTGGCGTCCTTTCGACATTTCCCATGGTCGTCAAGGGCCCAATAGCTAATAGGGGGGCGCCAAGCTCATTGCCAGACATCAGCCTTTTTCTCCGGCAGAACGGCATTTCAGGATCCGAGACCACTCGTCTGGTGCGGTGCTGGGCGCGGTGGGCGTGTCCGGGGCGGCTGGGGACGAGGACGAGTACGTGGCCCTCATGGGAGTGAAAGGCGAGGGAATTGGCTGAAAAGGTAGGTGGTCACCCTCCGGTCCACTAACATGCAGCCTGACTGAGTGGTCCTGGAAGACTATTTTCCTTCAAAAAGGACCCTCTGGCGGGTTCCGTGTTGGTGGATGGGAGGGTACCAACCGAGAAGTGGAAATTTTATCTGGGCAAAACTGGGACAATAAGGGCATTGCATAACGTCACGTTAGGGATTTTGGTTTGCGACATGATGACGGTTTCTTTGATGGGCAGGTTATTCAGGTGACCCTTGACGGGGAAGGTCAAAAGGGGTAGTTGTGAACCTTCCCATACGAACGGGAACCCCCGGATCAATGAACCCCTGGTTGATTTTGATTGGGGGGGTGTCCCCTTTTAAATATTTGTGAGTTCAAGACTTTTGCAGGGAACGCCTATTTGTCGGGCGGGTATATTCTTTCGGGGTCAACATCATGTGCTAGAACCCATTCAACGGGTTACCCAATGTTGCAAAACGAGTTGCTGTTGGTGTAGCCTGAATTAATTTTGTTTGGAAGACCTTTCGAGTGGAAAACAGCAAATTGTGTTTATGTCTTGGTTTTGTTGCGCGATGTTTTTTTTTTTTTTTTTTTTTTTTCTCTTGAACAAACAACAACAATACACGAGCTTTGTCCCAGGCACGTATGAATGGCAACAGGATTCGTCCTTACTCTTCACTCACCCGAAGTGGCTTTGATTGTGGCACACGCGTTCCTCACTTGCACAGAGATTGATCACCAAAGATCAATCTGTGCCAGCCACTCACAGCACTAAGGTTTGGTTTTGTTGCCACGGCACATATGGGAGTGTCTTTTTTTTGAGGCGGCCCTTTTCTGGGGGGTGGTTTGAAAGTCAAACCCATGGGAAGACGGACCGGTGGTGCCAGGCTGCGCAGCACTGGCCAGCGCGACCACTGAGCCGGCAGAGCACTCCTGCACCACCCTGAAGAAAGAGTGGTACGGCTGAGCGACGACAGATCCCTCCCAACCATGTCGCCCCCCCCAAAAGCCAATGAACGGCTTGGCCCGGGTGTGGCCTGATTTGAAAGACCTCCCCAAACTTTAGGGCCTCATTTGGCCTTGGGTGTCCTTGTTTTGCTGTATGTTGCCTGATGTTGCCTTTTGTGCGGGGGTCTCGGCCGTATTTTCCTGCAACGGCCCGAGCAAGAAGTGGAAACACGCTTAAGCATTTCTTGAACACAGACGAAATCCGGCGTTTCCAATTCCGAAATTGGAATTGGACCCAACAATTGGCTCGACCTTTTTCCTCGAGGCTCGATGTCTCGATGTGGAAAATTTGGGACGGCGGTCGCTTCGCGCGGGAAGATGAGAATCCCAGATTTTCAGGTCGGTTTGTCTTTTTATTTGATACCTTTGTTTGTGGTATTAGAGGAACGCCAAATGGAAAACGACAATTTTGAGGGTCCACTAAGAAAAACACACACCAGGTGAAAATCCTTCAACCATGTTCCGCAGCTGAATGCGTTTCGGGGGTCGATTGGCAAAACCAGATCGGCGATCCCTGGGGTGGTTCGGGCCAGCTTTCACGGAGGGTCCGGAGATTCAGTTCCAGTGGGTTGCGGGGCTGTTGGGTCTCGATACCACCTGGGATTCTTGTTTACGGTATTTGTCAATCCAGGGTTCACAATCTATCGTGTGACTCGAACGCGTTGCAACGGAACCTTTTCTGGGCGGCTCCCAGCCATCACCTTAGCCATTTAGCTTGGTAGTGTTTAGTGGTAACTAGTTTCCATTTAACCCACTAAAGTTAAACTTTAAGTCGGGGGATCTGAGGGCAGCCCAGTTTTGAGTTGGAGAAGCTGCGGTTTACAGCACGTGCTCGACTCGCGATGAGCCCGGCGGGACCTTTTCCCAGAACGCCAGTGATGTCCCTTTCTGCCATTTCTCTAGTGCTTCCAGTTACCAGGATTAACCAGGAGAAACCATTGTACAACCTGGCAATAAAAGATACCTGCTATAGTGGCTTGCCTGAAAGTGGGTTGGAGCAGGCTTTTCTTTGTCAACAAGCGAGCCATGCTCAAATGGAAAGCTGGTGTGAAGTGGGGATGATCAGAAAGAGAAGAAATGGAACTTGCAAGCTGCACACATAGAGGCGCACACCAACACACACACACACAGCGCCCCATCCCCCGGCTTAATATTGGCCGTGTCTGGCAACATGATTGGTAGTCGGTTACTTTGACATAGCTGCACAAACCAGTGGGACGGCCCGCAGTATCCCACGTCCTCGGACGGCCGCAGCTTATGGCTCAAACATACATCAAAGCGATGAACCTCACTGAGGGTTTGGCTGAGTGCCTTAAGTGGGGCATTTTCAGAGCTTCTCCAACGTTACGTCTTGACCCGGCGGCTTCCCTTTGCTCCACCCGGTGAAGTTTCTCGACACAAGTTCCTTTTGCCTGGTGGGTCAGAGCCACCAGGCAGCCGATTCAAGCCGAAGCAAGGGAGTCCGCGCAGCTACCAGCCACTCGCCACTCAACGCCACATCTGCCACCCAGAAACACCCAAAGACCTGCCAAACAGCACCCTCTCGAAATCGGCCCGGATTTCCGAGTTCGCTTCGAAGACGTCCGCATGCCGATGTGAAGATCGATGCGACAGCTGCTGGTGTTCCTGATCCCATGCTCAGTGACACTATGCCAAGTCTCAGGCGATCTTGGGTCAGATCCCGGGCCGGCCTGGACCTCCAGTACATGTGAGCCGATTCCTTTTGTCCTGGTTTTGGAGGGGGTTCTTTAAATAATTGGCATCCTCCCTCCCACCAACTTTAGAGCCTCCGGCTCAGTCCGCCGACATTGTCCTCTCCCTTTTCTCCTTCTTCCTCTCTCCCTTGTCTCCCTGGTGTGTTCTGTCGTCCTCTCTCCCTCCCTCCGCTCCCCATCCTCCCCATCCCCCCAAGCCACTCTCTCCCCAATCTCCCTCTCTCGTATGTATGTATGTATGTATGCATGTATATATGTATGTATGTAATGTATGTATGTATGTATGTATGTATGTATGTATGTATGTAGGTAGGTAGGTAGGTAGGTATGTATGCATGCATGCATGCATGCATGCATGCATGCATGCATGCATGCATGCATGTATGTATGTATGTATGTATGCATGTGTGTAATGTAATGTAATGTAATGTATGTATGTAATGTAATGTATCATGTATGTATGTATGTATGTGTGTATGTAATGTATGTATGTATGCATGCATGCATGTATGTATGTAATGTGATGTGATGTAATGTAATGTAATGTAATGTAATGTAATGTGTGTATGTATGTATGTACGGTAGGTAGGTAGGTAGGTAGGTAGGTAGGTAGGTATGTATGCATGCCTGCATGTATGTATGTATGTAATGCATGTATGCATGTGTGCAATGTAATGTAATGTAATGTATGTAATGTATGTAATGTATGTAATGTATGTATGCATGCATGCATGTATGTATGTAATGTAATGTAATGTAATGTAATGTAATGTAATGTAATGTAGTGTATGTATGTATGGTGGGTAGGTAGGTAGGTAGGTAGGTATGTATGCATGCCTGCATGAATGTGTGTATGTAATGCATGTATGCATGTATGCAATGTAATGTAATGTAATGTAATGTATGTAATGTATGTAATGTATGTATGTATGCAATGTAATGTAATGTAATGTAATGTAATGTAAAGTCATGTAATGTAATGTAATGCAATGTGATGTAATTTAAAGTAATGTAATGTGATGTTGTGTAATGTAATGTATGTATGTATGTCTGTATGTCTGTCTGTATGTATGTCTGTATGTATGTATGTATGTATCCTTGCACTTCCCCTTTGCTCCCCAGTATTTCCCGCAAAAAAACACTGTTTTTCCAGCGTTTTCGCAAAGATGATGTCCAAAAACACAGAGTTTTTCCAGATTTTCGGCAAAAGGATGCAGGAAGCCCAAGCCAGCAAAAAAGCCGGCAGGGGGAATCGAGCCTGGGACCCCTGTTTTGCGACACCGGGTCCCCGAAGACTACGTTTAGTGGAACGTCATCAAATTGCCGCGCGGTCCTTGGGGGGGGGGGGCCCCCCCCCCCCCCCCCCCACGTATCAGACGTCGGGTGGGGGGGGGGTTATCCTCTATCCTCTCTTAGGTGTCCGACACGCCGAGAAATGTCGGCGGACATGGTGACAGGGCCCCAAAAAGAAGAGTGCCCTTCTTTTCCCATGGAAATCCACTGGGGGTCTGGGAGGGAACCTTAAACAGGGGAGCCAAGCACGATCCTGCAGGCGGGCCCAACACGTGTATGAGGCTTGTGTGGCCGTGCGCGGCCAATGTTTCTTGTTCTGACATGAGCTTTGAGTGGTTTGCTTTGTCCAGCAGCCTAGTTTCACGTGAACACGCATCATTGCTGGACTGGTTGGATGTACCTGTGTTGTTTGGTTCAGTTTAATTTGTTTCACGTGTTGTTGCTTTCGCAGACCGTCTTGACCAAAGGCTCTAATGCTCCGAAGGCGTGAGGCAACACAGCAAGAAGCAATGTTGAGGAGGGACCCTAGTGCCTTGCGCTCCCGCCGTCTAGAAGCCCTGTTAAGAAGGCGCAAAGGACCATTCCTGAGGGTACAGGGCCCTGTTTCTCTAAACTGCCTGAACTGCCAAAAACCGAAGGTCAACTTAGCTCCTCGGGTCTGAAGGCTCAGACGTATGAGGGAGTTCGCTCATATTCCAACTTATCCTCCGGTACCTCAGTATCTCTCCGTTTACACCTGGTTGAAGAACTATTTGGGTCTCCAAATATTTAGGGTTGGGCAGGGAATGTTGTTAGCATGTTTAGAACTAAATGTGGAGCATTTGGACTTGTTAGTTGGGAGTAGCCCACGGCCAAAAATGAACGATCCCCGGAGCGTCTAGCTGGGGTTCTAAACTATGGTAAAAGGACGTGGAACATCACCAGATTCTTAGACGCACAACCTGATTTGGCTTCACTACTTTGTTGTTCAAGCTACTTCAGTAGGTTACTTACAACCCCGGCTTTTTTCAGGGCCTCCCCCCAGCCCAGATGGAAACCATGGTCAAGATAGGGTCAAAATAGCGGCTTCCCCAAAGGAAACCACCCTCAGAAACGCTTAAGCAACGCAAGCCCAGTAGGGACGTGCCTGGGGTCCCAACAGGCGCCTGCCCGAGCGAAGTGCACGGCGCGCTACTGTGGCCGCTCTCCGTGGCAGCACTGGCGCTGCAGGAGCTAGGGTTGAAAATATGTCCTTCCATTTGGTTAGGAATACAGTGTTGTTTGGTTCCCTTGGTTATGGTTTTAAAGAGACACTCGTGGAAAAACCACCCATTTTTGGGGTACCTCATAAAAGACAAACCCAAATGGTGACGTTTTCTCATGTTTTGTTTCATTATCAACTTTCCCGGTTGGTTTTCAGATAGCATCGATTTCACTACTGGGCATATATATATATATATCTCTTCCAGGTGACTTGCGCAAATGAAGGTTTCTGGGGTCTTTTCAATAAACCAGCCAGCAACCTGTCGATCTCTGGGATCCTCCAAAGCTATTTTGTTTTGCCAGGCAGACTCAGTATGGAAGAGAGTCCGAACAAAAATTGTTTTTCCGCGTGCCCCGGATGTGGGCACGTTTTGAGGTGTCAACCAACAATCGATTTGTGTTGTCCTTGTGTATTCCTTGCTTAGTGCTCGGATGGTTAATATATGGGTTTGTCTTAAACTAGGGGACCCTTAAACTGCTTAGTTTCCCTTTTGTTTCCCTTTAAAAGCCAGCCAAAAGGGGGTTCCTCAAGAAAAGATATCCATATGAACATACAAAGGGGCTCTTCATTGGTTTCTTGTTGGGGATGGACTCTTCCTTAGGCCTGATTTTTTCTGCCCGATCGGTCCGATCGGATTTTATGGGCAAGCAGCTCTTTGATTCGGGAGAGGGGGTCAGTGGGTCAGAAGCTGGGGGACATGTTGTATCTCGGGTTCCCTAGTAGTTGCCGAGTTATTCTCCAAAGCTACTCTATTTGTTAGACAGACAACATATCAAACATAATAGGAAAACACTATCAGGTTCTCGGTTTGGGCAGGCCATATTCTACCAGCTGTGCCCATTGTGCCCGTTGATTTCAGTAGGCCCCTTATCCGCAGTGGTTTGTTCATGTGAGGAAACACTCCCAAATATTGAAAGCTTGTTTTAGCCGAGGTGTCTTTGCAGCAGACACACCATTCCCATCAAGCCTACACAACATTCCCTGAGTTGTCCTGAACAAAAATATCCACCAACACCAGTGTGCTGCAGGCTTGGGTTCCGAAATCCGATGTTTTTCACTCTACGATTTCCCTCATTTGCTTTAGTTTGTGCCTCTATTGTGTCTACATAATGACGCCCAATTATATACCCCTTTAGGCAAGTAGCTGATTTCCGTTTAGCTTTGCAAAGGGTGGTGCGCTTGATCCATATGCGAAATTCACAGAAGGCCAGCTTTGGCTTCGCGATCGGGCATGGCTGTGGGAGGTGGGTGTTCGGCTTACTTTCTGTGATGCCGCCACTTTAAGGTGGCAAAGTAGTCGTACTGTGGATGGACGAAATCCTGCACCACTTTGAAACCATGGGAAGCCATTGTTTGCTGGTATTTACAGGGGAATCATCAGAAACCAGAGTTTCTTTGGTGCGAAATGGATTTCGCAACCATCCACAGTATGGATGCCCACTTTGGTATGAGAATTGCAATTTTCGAGACCCATGCATCTTCCCTTGAAACCAAGCTGGAAAGGGTACCTTATAATAAGAGAAACATAAACCAAATTGATCCGCTAGGAAAAGACAAGCAGACGGCCAGATCAGGTTTTGGGAACTGCTCACTTCGGTGAAAGATAATTTGTCGGGCAAAGTTCCCTGGGAAAGAAGTGGGAACCACGCCTCTTTCCCTCTTTCCCACACATTCCAAGGGGGGTCGCTGGTCTTCCCTTCAAAAATTGCAAACTCCTCATGATGTCCATTAAACAAATAGTGTGGGTTCCAACAAGGGAAATGGAGGCACCCCTGTCCAAGCCCCTTGTTTCATTCTGACGACCCTGCGAGGTGCTGTTGGGCAAGCGCAGCAACTGGCTGCACTTCCTGTCGCTCCTACTGATGCCTCAAGGCTTACTAAGGTTTCCCTTTTTCAATATTCCGTTGTTGATTAGGTGTTTCTTTAAGTCTTCAAAATCCGTTGGTAGTATTTTTCCTGTTTTTGTTCATCCTTTGTTTGCTAGGTGCTAGGTGTTCCTTCAAAGTCCTTTGCTTGGTACGTGGAAGAATTATGTCTTAAAATATGTTGTTTGCTAGAATATTTAACGTCTGGTGTTTGGTATGTGGTATGAGGTTTCGCTTGAAAATCCGTTGTTGCTAGGTCTTCAGGTGGTAGATTTCTCCCCAAAATCACGTTGTTTGGTATGTGGAAGTTGTCCTTCAAATTCCGTTTCTTTTAGGTGGCAGGTTTCCTTGTTTGGTAAGTGTTCCTCCAAATCCGTTTTGTGGTAGGTGGCAGGTGTCCTTCAAAATTCGTTGTTTGGTAGGTGTCTTAAGATATGTTTTCCGTTGTTTGGTGGGGTTCCCTTCACAATTCTTTGTTTAGCAGGTTTCCTTTACAATCCGTTGTTGGGTAGGTGTTTTGTCAAAATCCGCATGTTCGGCAGGCTTCCTTTCAAATCCGTTGTTTGGTAGGTCTTCCTTCAATATCCGTATTTTTGGTAGTGTCCCTTCAAAGTCTGCTTCGTAGGTTCTTTGTGAGTACCCGTTTGGCAGGTGTCCGGGCACAGCTGTTGTTTGGGCAGGTTTCCAGAGTAAGGTGCCCATTGGAGGTTGAGGCACGGGCGCCTGAAATGGGCAGATAGGCCCTGTGCTCGAACTCCAGGTACTTTTGTTTGGCATTTCGACGCTTTGCCGGGTTTCCTCCAACATGTTTAGGTTATTTTTAGCGCAGACTACATGGACCCAAATCTGAAGAGAGCTCTTATTCCATTTTTTCCGTGCCTCAAATTTAGGCCAAGGATTGCTTCGGGCTCCAGTTGACCTACATACTGAAAGGCGGCAAATGAGTGACCCTGTACAACGTGTGAGTCGTGGCTTGGTATCCATTTTCAGCTTCCCCTCAATTGGTGGTTTGTGATTTGATTGCCACTTCTTCTTTTGAAACGTGGCCCCAAAAAAGTCGAAACCGGGCTCCAAACCACGAATGGAGGGGAAGTAAGTAGGTCCCCCAGTACCAGTAGTTCCCTTTTACCCCTTTTTTGGGGGGAGGGTTCCCTACAAAAATAAACTACAGAAAAAAGGGTACCCTTATTCTAGCCTCTCTACCGGAGGACACAGTCTATTTGGCCTCAGGCTTTGGGCCGCGCAAGCGCTGGTGCTGCTGGCGCCTTTGGTGCCCCACGTGGAGGTACCCATGGCGCGCATCGGCGAAGGCGTCGAGGGCATCCATCCAATCCGGGAGGCCTCTGGGGAGTGACGGGCGGGGAGCCTTGGGATACGAAGCCTTTCGATGTGCCCTTAGCAATGACCCTTGGTACTTGCTTACTATGCCTTTGTGGGTTTACATGATTTACATGGTTTCCTTCAGCTTCCCTTTCAAGCGGCAAGCTTAACTTCCTGCAGGTCGGAAGAATGGACATCCGTTGCCGCCTATGGAGGGTTAGTGATGCAGAGATGTGATATCTAGTCATCTTTGCCCTTAAATGAACAAAGAACTTCTTTCCCCAACACGCTGCCCAGATAAACTCCGGAGTGGTTCGGAGGGCCTGTTTTGTGGTTGGCCATGCATGGACATCACCTGTGCGGCAATAGGTTTGAAGTGTGTGGATAAAACCAACTTGTCGTTTGGCCTTTGAGTGCGTGGCTTCAACGAGTAACCATTGGAACATCGAGCGCTGTCTTCATTTGCTGCTGGGTAATATGTACAGGTCTACTACTTTAAAGGGAAACTCAATCTGGGGTCCACCGGGAGGACAACCGGGAGGACTACTGGAAGACTACATTACATGACCCGAAACCGTCCAACACCAAAAATATAAAAACTATGGCGAGTCTTTAAAATGTAGAACTCGGAGATATTCTTTCCAGCTTCGCACACATTTTGGCGTCGCATGCGGGCTTGCAAGTTTCTTTCGGCCCTCCAAGCCAGCGGCTGTCTGCTGTCGCCAGGTTCCCACATCGGAAGCCCTTGATGGCTTCGGCGGCTCCCTCGTTGAAAAGGGAGGCGCGGCCAAAAGCGATCGGAGCGCAGGGGTGATCACAGAACTGACCGCGCGTGTATGATCCAGATCCTCCTGTGGGCTGATTGCTTGGTTTTTCTGTTGGTTATTAATCTAGGGTCGCCCGAGAGCAATTATCCAAAACTAATGCCATCATTTCGCATGAACATCAACTTCTGGCACCCGCAAAGCGCTTCGCGATTGATTAGAACGGAAAACAACGGTTATCCATGATTCATACACCCATGAGTTGCTCCCGTTCAAACGAATTTGATGAGCAGTCGGTAGAAGAATCCAAGGAAGCCGTTCACCGCCTTCGGGGCTTTAGGATAGCCACAGGCTGGGCCACAGGGAGAGGTCTGGGGTACATGCCCTGCCCACATGGGAACAGGCCGCCGAAAGGGAGTGGTCCATCCAGGCATAGGGAGCTGAGGCTGGGCCCCAGTTGGGTAAAGTCAGCTTTTGCAGTTGAGAGAAGCCCCAAGAGCGGAGGGGGGGGGATTGGCTTCACCCTACTTCCTGAGTTCAGGTCTCCCTATTTTTGCAATTCGTTTGTTGCGTAGCACCTTTCGGGGCCCGATAAAGAAGGTGATGTTTCCCTTGGACTTTTGGAAATGCTGTGGATGGACACAATAAAAAGTCTCAAGAGCCAGACCCACAAGAAAGGGACAGGGACCGTTCTGGGCGCATAGAGTGCGTCAAGGCTGAGCCGCTTGTGTTGAAAACAAACACGTGGTTCAGCACCTTGGTGAAGGAGATTAAGGAGACGCGATGATGGACAAATTCCACCTCGCACAAGTTCGTGGGTGGATAGTCCCATAATTTGGGTATGGGTCAAAATTAAACCACCAGAAGCACCGCAGGTTTCCGTGCTTGGTCCTAACAGAGTTCCATTTGGAGGGTTACCCTATTTGTGACGACCACCGCCATCTGGCTATGGGTCAAAACCCCGTGCCCCCAGCGAACATCCCAATCCCAATTATAGTAGGTCCTAAAATGGGTGGTGCATTCACCTACCAACCAAAATGGGATCAATCCCCACTAAAATAGACTAAAGTGGGTGGCGCGCCTACCCCTAGATGCGATCCCATGGGTGTTGACGACCACGGCCATTGGGTTTTTCTCCCCGCGCCGCGGATTTCGTCCTGGCGGATTTTTCGTCCCGCAGAGGCGCCATCCGCAGCATCTCGGTGGTGCTGCCCTGCGCCGAGGAGCGAGAGAACGCCGCACGCCCAGAACCAGCGAGCCGGGAATTTCGCGTTTCCCCGGGCCGAAATGCCCCGAAAAGGGTGGATAAACTCAAACTGGGAACCAGACTCTGGCGTTGTTGTTTGGCTTCTTTGGCCTTGTGTGTTTGTTTTGATTTGGCTTTTGCAGTATTTCCGTGTGTTTGTGTTCGTTGCGTTGGCTTCGTTGTGTTTGTTTTGATCTGGTTGTGGGGTCTTTCTGTGCTGTTTGTGTTGGGCGCTCTCTTGCGTCAAGAGCACGATCCCAGGCCATCCGCACGGTGGAGCGCTTCTGCCGGCGCACCCCCAGCGACATCCTCAAGGCGCGGATTCCTTCGAGTCGGATTTGGCCGTGGGTCAAAACCAATTGTACCATTTGGAGTAGCTGCACTACCCATTTTAGTTTATTTCAGTGGGGATTGGGATGTTTATTGGGGGTACGAAATTTTGACCCGTGGCCATTTCTCGCCAGGGTTCTAGGCGTAGGTCCACAGTCGACCTTTTGACCTTTTTTGGGTTTCCCAGCGTGGTTGTGTAAGGTCTCGATAGGCGAAGCTTGTATTTCCAGGTGTCAAGTGAGGGAGCCGTCAAGCCATAGGTGTCCTTTTTAGGTTCGTTGGGATAGAAATAGAAGGCACTGGTTTAGATTGGTTTTATGCCCCATTTACCAAAGACTCCCATCTATTTTGCCAAAAGGCCACCCCCATGCGTTGAGCATGTTTGAGCCAGGGCCGGGGCTAAGCCCCTGCTTACCTTCACTGTTGTTGGCAAGCTGTTTCTTTTGTTGGTTCTGTTCAGTTTTAGTAGGCTGCAACAACAACAAAGTGTGTTGCTCCCATCCCAACGGTTGGAAAGTTACGACCTCGTGCGTTTCTTCTCCTAGGTCCCCCAGTAGTGCCCTTTTACCGATTCTTTCTTGGCGGGAGGGTTCCCCTACTAAAATAGACTACAGAAAAAAGGTATTCTTATTCTATCCTCTCTACTGGACCTAGTCTCGACTAGGAGGTGCTGGTGGTGGATGATGGCTCGAATCCACCGCTGGTGGAGCTCTTTAAGCAGAACGACCTGCGTTTGGACCAGGCACATCTGAGTTGAAATTGGTCGCCCCTTTGTGTGTGCGTGTGAATTTTAGGGCTGAGCGCAACAAATTGTGGTTTGCCTTTGGGTGTCCCAAGAAAGGGGTACCAACTCGGGGGAAAAAACACCTTTGTAATTGTGTTTGGTTCTTAACCACCCTCCAACCATTGTGGGATACCAATCAATATTTGGAGAAACACCCACATGGGCATTTCTCAACTTTCCCCCCACCAGTTTTTGCATGTTAAGGCGACAATGGAAAACTAGCCTGATGGGGTCCCACAATTTGAGGAAAAGCTTGCCTTGTTTCGGGCGAGCTCACCACATTTCGTGGCTAAACGAGCTCACCATGACCCAGGTACTTTGAGGGTGGCCAAAGGGTGTCAAACAAAGGGTATCGAGCATGCGCCTAGTTTAAGCCATCTGCGACGAAATCCATCTCCTATGCAAACACATTTACACTGGTCATGTCCCACTATCAAGGTTCCCTTATGCGCGCAAGTACGCGCCCCCCCGCAATTCCGGCAGGGCCAGACAGCCCCAGGCTTGGCTCGCCTGCGCGAGGGCCGTAAGAGGATGTTGTCTTGGGGCTTGTGAGGTGCGTTTGGGTCTGCGCCGTGTTGAGAGCTCGGCTTATTATAAGATTAGGGCATTACCATAGATTGGGACAGACTGCCCCATAGCCGGTTTTTCATCTGCACTTGCGCTATGATGCCAGCTAAAGACAGCAAATTGCGAGATAGCCTTAAGAAAAACCATCAATTTAGTCTCTTGTGAAGCGAACTCCCACGGCTTTAAATGTGTCAACATACCTCGCGCACAGCGGCCACAAAAATGGTGTAAACTAGAGAAATGAAAAATGATGAGCAAAAACCAGAGCTTAGCTTTCGTTCAACGGGAGTTGAGGATTTATACCCCCCTAAGCTACAGATCTCGCCCAATCCGCAGGATTGCCAGACTGCGGGCCAGCGACAACAACATTGAACACTGGCTTGCACGAGCAATGCCTTCTTCACATGGTCGAAAATTGCAACATGCGCCCCAGAAAACTGCAACTGCGCTTGATTTGTCTTGTAACACATGCGAGTCTAACAAGCGCCACCACCACTTTTGCCAGCCGTGCTTTCCACTCTGCTCCAATTCTGATGGGCCAAGCCTCGGCACAAGGCAAGGCCTGCCACAATCAACTGTCGCTGCTGCTATCGCTACTGCTGCTGCTATCGCTACTGCTGCTGCTACTGCTGCTTGTGACCTTCCGCTTCTTCTGGCCACGGGTCGCTTTCTTTGGCGCAGCATCTTCAGCATGTGCAGCAGAAGCCTTAGCAGAGGCTTTCTTCGGAGCCCCACTTGCAGAGCGTGGTGTTTTGGAGGCTTTGGCCTTGCTGGCTGCTGGCGCGTCGAGCTTCTTGCAAAAATTATGCGCATGCCGCAGCAGGCTTGCAGGGTCTGGTGAGCCTTCCTTTGGAAAGTCTTTCGCGTCCCTATCACTGCTTGTGATTTCCCGCAAGCTCTCCAAGCTGGATGGGCGAAATTCGGCAAGGACCGCAGCTTCCTGTGTGGTGGCATCGCGGGTGCGCCACGGCACCTCAATCTGTGCTGCCTGGCCATGCGGGCGACGTGCTGCGGGGACACGCCGGGAATTCACAAAGGCTTTGGGGATCACGCCGACAGGAACGGCGCAAATGCCGCAGCCGTCCCCTGTCTCTAGGATAGGGATTAGGATGGCTACGCTGTCCTCCCAAGGAAGTGCCAGGCGCTGCAAAGTAGCCGCATCTGCCGAGTCCTCGGAAAGCCAGCACACCTGCACCTTCCCATTGTCAGGCTCAGCGTTGAGGGCATGTGTCTGCATTTGTTCGCACAGGTCCCATGACCACTGTGCCAGTTGGAACACGCACATCAGCTCAGAGTTCCCCCGAGATTGCCATGACACACTTCGGATCTTGCCGAAGCACTCGCACAGCCACCTGCCCTGTGTCGGTGCCCGCGTGGCGCGAGCTCCAGGCGGCATGAGCTGCATGGCTTCCTCTTCGCTGACTGTGGCAGTCTTGGCAGCTGCCTTCCAGTAGTTTAGCTCATGCCTGACGGCAAATCTGCCGCGGGAGTTCGGTGACTTCTTCCATATGAAATTCTGCATCTCGCTTCGGAATTCTCGTCGTGCCTGAGAGGGCACGCGTGCAGCAGGCCGAACAAAACACGGACGCTTTCCTAGGCTGAATGTCAACATTCTTTTGCACTCAAACTTCCGGCGAAGTCATCGCGTTTGTTCGCATGGAAGTCTTGTGGATGCAACAAACACGCGCAGCTGGCAACCGGGAAATCTCTCGAAACAGGCCTAGCAGTACCTACACGCCTAGCACACCTACACATGCAAGTCCGCAAGCTCCAAACTTGTCTATCTTGCAAGGTTTGTGAACTTATCCCCACTTGGAGGAACTCCAAGTGTTTCCGAGTGATGCCCCAAACTCCCCACTATTTTCCGCAGACCAATGACACATTGAGTACCCCCGCAAACACAGCCCGCTCGTGCAGGGGCCCATTTCCTTTTGGCACACGCGCGGCCTGCAAGGCGTCTTGACACCAGCGGTTGATTTCGCGTGCTCTGCGCAGCGCTTCGCCTTTTTTCCCCGCGCGTTTTGGCGCGAGCGAACATCAGCGGCGGTGCTGGGCAGCGCGGTCGTTGCGGCGGCGCTGGCTAGGTTTTTGTTGTTGCTGCTGGTGCTGCGGCCGCCGGCGCTGCTGCTGCTGCTACTGCTGCTGCTGCTGCTGCCCTGGCTCAAAACTCGCAAGTTTGCCACGGCACCACGCAATTGGCAGCTCCCGACTCGAGAGTCGCAACTTTTCCGCGCAAGTGCGAGATGCGAAGCACACTTCGGCTGCTCCAGCTCGGAAACTGCAATTTTCTGCGCCACATGCGAAGCGCAATGCGGCAGCTCCGGCTCGAAAGTCGCAACTTGCAGCGCTAGCGTCGTTTACGGAGCACGCTGCAGCAACTCCGGCTCAGCGTTTGCAACTTTTCAGTACAAGCGTCGTGTGCGCAGGACACTTCGGCAGCTCCGGATCGTAACGTTTCAGTACGCGGAGCTCACTTTGGCAGCTGTGGCGCGGAAGAGAGCAGCTACTCAGCACGAGTGCAACAATTTTGTGGCGTGCGCTTTGGCAGTTGGTGCGTCGCGACCTTTCAGCACGTGCGTAGTAGGCGGAGTGCGCAGTGACATCTCCGGGTCGCTTCTCAGTATTAGCGCAGTGCAAATGCGGACTGACTTGCGCGCAATCTAGCTACGCGGTCCTGTGCTGTGATGTGAGCTTCCGTCGACTGATTCGCCTGTCTTACACCACTGCTTTTTGAGACACGCAGTGAAGGATTGCCCAGCGCGCGCCACTATAAGGCAGGCTCACCTAAATACCGCGAAAAGGCGCAGCATTACCAGCCCAAAGCACCTACTGCAGCAGAATGGGCACCATACTACACCCAGCTGCAAGTTATCGTGCAGAATCAAGCCTCTGCCCGTTGAAGTGGCTTTTCTGGAAGCCCCCCCCCCCTCTCCCCTGTGGTGCGGACACAACACATCAATCGAGGCAAATTTCCGACTTTCTGAGTTACAAGTAGCGGAATCAGGGGGAAGGGGGAGACTCGACAAACCCTGCAAAGGTTACCCAGCCAAGGCACCTCCTGCTTCTTGCTCATGTCCTTGTTAGTCTTTTCAAAGTCCTTCCTATCCGCAGGTTCTGCGATCCCGTCCATCTCCTCAGGAGTCACGTGGCAAATCTCTTCCTCTGCTGCCTCCGCCTCGATGCGGCTTTGGAGGATTGAAAGTGCAGCTGCCTCATCTACTCCCAGCACTTTCTGGACAAGTGCTTGCAGCAGCTCTGGCAAGCGCTGACCAGGCTGTCGCGGCATTTTCAAGGTCTCCCGCATGGCTTCTGTGTAGGCAGCACTGAGGCCAAGGAAGCCCTCGCGGGCACAATGCTCAAGCAGACTGGTCGGCTTGCTGTCGCGCCCTGCTGAGAGCAAGACTCCTTGGGGCACATCGCCTCGCGCAAGCTGTGCATTGGGCTTTCGACTGTGCAAGGCAGGCACTGGAAATCTGCAAAGTTCAAGACCGCGGCGAAGAATGGGCAAGCTTTGGCATCGCTGCGTAGCGCAAAAAATCGGTGGCTTTCGGATTGCGGCTTCTCCACGACAGGCCAGCGCAGCACAGCACTACCGACCAGGCCAAGTGACATGAACAGCTCACAATCTGTTCGCCCGAAGGGATAAGACAAGGAGGCCTGCCCGTGTGGCGTGCAGTGAAGCAGAAGGCCAGGCCTAGCCAAAACTGCCAGCTGCGTTCTCCCACTTGCCTTGCGCCCGCAAGACGTCCATCAAAGCAAGAAGTCCTGTCATGTTTGGCGAGGTTTTGGGTGTTGGAGATGGCCAACTTCTCCGCTCCATGACCTGCTTCAGGTCCCATGTCCCCAGTCCCCCTGGTTCGAAGAGCATGTCGGGAAGAGATGGGAGGGAGTGACTCCGCTCTGCGTTGTTACCAGCACTTTGGCACTTTGGTTGAACCTGCTGAGAAGGTCGCTGTCCAAGGCAGCCTGAAGCCTTCGTCTCGGAGCTGCTTTGCGACCCAGCTGATCTCGCTCAGGTCGATTCCTGCACTCTCGGATCCAGTTTTCAACTATGGCAGTGCTTCCCAGCCCTCCGAAGATGAACCGGATGCGCTCGAAGACCGTCTCAGGCACTTTCTCAAGCTGCCATTGGGCTTTGCGAAGCTCTAGTGTAAATTGTTGCACGGCCGGAGCATTCCAAATGTTTTCTTTGAGCTTGCGTGTCAGAAACGGCATCTGGCAGGCTGAGCCTGCATCGAGCAGTTCTTGCAGCCACTTCATGCGCCGGAGGCCCTCATGCCGAGCCGCTTCTTCGTCGTGGAGCAAGCTGGCCCACAAGCCCGGAAAGCCTAAGGAGTGCCAAGCCATGCTGCAAATGCGATTCCGCATGAGCAAGCGCGTGAGAGTGAACA